CCAGGTATCCATTTACACCACCTGGGTAGAGAGTGGCAAGTGCAGATTAATATCTTGCCAAAGGTCACTAGTACCGCGGCGGGACTCGATCCGCAAAACATGTAGTCGGGTGACGATGCTGGTGATGATGATGAAGATGATGATGATACTGGTCGTGATGATGATGAAGATGATGGTGATGATGATGAAGATGATGATGATACTGGTCGTGATGATGATGAAGATGATGGTGATGATGATGACGATGTTGTTGTTGATGATGATGATTATGATACCGATGATGATGATAATGGTGATGATGATACTGGTGGTGGTGATTGTAAATGTGATGATGATACTGGTGGTGGTGGTGGTGGTGATGGTGGTGGTGGTGGTGGTGGTGATAATGTTGATGCTGTTGAAGTCGGTGGTGCTGGTGGAGATAGTAGTCGTGAATGGTGGTGATAGAGATGATTATGGTCATAGTGTTATTAATCGCATTCGCATTCCCTGGGTTATATTCATTTCCATTGTGTTAGTACGTCTTGAACATCATTGCCCCCCCCCCCCCCCCCACTGCCCTAAGACAGAGGACTCTGGGTCCTCAGTCATGAGAGCCTGCATGTAAATATGTCTATAGAGTAGTCGCATGATACTAGCCCATTTCAGCTATACGATCATCAAAAACACCATTAATAATCCAATGTCGTATATTCAAGGTTTAATGAGATCTATTGTTGGCACAGTATTTTATTCGCGTAATGAGCCATAAAGCAGTATGTTGCAGTGTTGTTGATTCTCAACGCAATATACCGATAACAATATTTGCATATACTCGACGTGCTTATCATCATGATCATGATACGAGGGATTTGTTACTGAATATTATTATATTCATAACGATCAGGGCTGACGTTAAACAAGAGAGAGAGAGAGAGAGACAAAAAAAATTTATAAGAAGATAACGATGATGTTCATGTCTTTGATTTGAGTTTTTCTCCGATGATAATAACTTCAATGATGGTGGTGATGATGAGGATGATAATAATAGTCGTCGTCATGGTAATAATAATAATAATAACACTAATAAGGACAATACTAGTAGTAATAATAATAATGATGATTATGATAACACATAATACTAATATTAATAATAGTATTAATAACAAGAATAATAATAATAATAATAATGATAATAAACTACTACTAAGCTTTACAACTATTAATAATATTTATCAATAATCATCCTCAATACAGTAATAAACACTACTTTTGGAGTTGAAGGGTACTATAATTAGTGTCTAGTTCAGTAAACTATAATTTATTGTGCTCATAAGTTATAGTTTGTTGTATTGCATGTCATGACCTTATGTGTTATTGCAGTCCAACTTTATTGTTATAATGTCATATATCGGCATTTTGACTCTAATGTGAGCTCGATTATGAAAGACTAAATAAGTGTGTAAGGGGGCCGAGGGAGAGGGGGGGGGGGGGTTGTCAGTGCGAAGTGTGAATTATTTTTTAGCTCTCCCTTTCTTTGTCCACCTCCCTCTCCCTCTCTCCCCCTCTCTCTCTCTCTCTCGTTTATATATATATATATATATATATATATATATATATATATATATATATATATATATATATATATATATATCTCTCTCTCTCTTCCTTTCAGCTATTTAGCGTGTCCACTTCAGCGTTCCCTATTACGTTTGGCAATCGTTCTACGTCTTTCCCTGTTTGTAAACCCTCTGTTTCTTTATCTTGGTCTAATCTAGATTTCACCAATAAAATAGGTGATCAAAGGCAGCAATGTACTGATAGCGAATTATAATAGAATGAAGACATTAAAACCATTCTGAGTTTCATTAAGTATTATGACGTTGCCCTCTATAATATTAATATTATACAATAGTCGGATAGTGCCACTATGGGAAACATGAGTTTTTACCTTTGTATTCCCAAATACTCCTCTCCACAAGGCCATGTATCATTCAAATTCGGAAAGATGTCGGTTGCCATAGCAACAGTGATGTCAACGAGCATCTCATGATTACATAACCATGACAACGAGGCGCAAAGAATAATGTCATTTTAACAACGTATATAATCACAGTCTTTATTATTTCTCTATGAAAATCCAAGCAGTACACTAATAAAATTTGTTATGTAGGCCTATAGCGTTGAAGGAAGTAAATATGAGCATACTGGATGTATTGTTAAATCACTATGTCACAATGATACATTAGTATTGATTGATTCACTCACTTATTCATTCATCCACCATTCATTCAATGATTCACTTTGCATTGCTGACCATATTTATGATACACCGATATTATTTCAATTTCAAGCCTTTATTCAACGGTCCATAACGTACAAAAAAACAAACAATATTGGTTAACATACTCTATGTGATAAGTATTGAGGAAAATATAAACAAATTGAGCTAAATAAAATCATACAAAACAAAAAGAGAATATAAAAGGTTTACTGACATAATTTCAATTACAAACCTTTATTTCAGACTCGGCGGTCAATAGAACATAAATTGTACAGTTAATAAAACAATGCTGGTCATTACAAAAGTCATACTGTAAGTATTGAGGAAAATAAAATAAAATTTTGCGAAATAAAATCACACAATACAATATGAAAATATAAAAGATAGAGAATACGCAAAACTAAATCTGTTAATAAACAAGAAGAGAAAGAGGGAAAAAAGAAGAAAGTAAAGTGAGACAAGAAGAATTCAAATTGGAAATATTTATCAATTATAGTCAAAGGCAATGTAACTGATAAATGTATATGATATGCTTGAATTGTTTGTGATTTTCATTGGATTTTAATACAACACATTGTGTTGTATTATCGCATTAGGCACTCACCTGCCCCCCCCCCCCGGCCCCCAGGATCGGGCCTTCTTTTCTTCTTGAATATCTTGAAGTGTTTCCACAGGCTCCAGAAAGGGCATATATACTGTAGAATTGCAAGGAAATGCAAGGAGGATATTTGGTTAAACTGTGTACAAGGAAAATGAAACGCTGCAATCTGATTTAAACATCTGAAATATATTTGTTTTATCAGTAACGGAGGCTAACGACGATATCTTGACAATTACCTAGTTGAGACTTTTTTCCTGTTGCAAGGGCACACATCGTATAGATTGGCAAAAACTTATCAAAACGTTTGTCTTTATTGGAAGCTCGGATATCTGATAATCTTAACACTGCCTTTTATCTTCACGTCTAAAACATATTTGTTTAAGTCAAGTAGCACAGGCTCATGACAGAGATATCTTGACAACTAACTCGCCCTTGTGTCAACATTGTGGTGCGGAACAATCGTACGTTGTTTGTTTTTGACGCGGGCCTTTTGTTTCTTAGGTTGCCGGGCAAAGTGTGTGTGTCTGAAGGGGGAGAAGGAGGGGGAGGAGGAGGAGGAGGAGGAGGAGGAGGAGGAGGAGGAGGAGGAGGAGGAGGAGGAGGAAGAGGAGGAGAAGAAGAAGAAGAAGAAGAAGAAGAAGAAGAAGAAGAAGGAGAAGAAGAAAGGAAGAAGAAGAAGAAGAAGAAGAAGAAGAAGAAGGAGAAGAAGAAAGGAAGAAGAAGAAGAAGAAGAAGAAGAAGAAGAAGAAGAAGAAGAAGAAAGAAGAAGAAGAAGAAGAAGAAGAAAGGAAGAAGAAGAAGAAGAAGAAGAAGAAGAAGAAGAAGAAGAAAAAGAAGAAGAAGAAGAAGAAAGAAGAAGAAGAAGAAGAAGAAGAAGAAGAAGAAGAAGTGTGTGTCTGAAGGCGGAGAAGGAGGGGGAGGAGGAGGAGGAGGAGGAGGAGGAGGAGGAGGAGGAAGAGGAGGAGAAGAAGAAGAAGAAGAAGAAGAAGGAGAAGAAGAAAGAAGAAGAAGAAGAAGAAGAAGAAGAAGAAGAAGAAGAAGAAGAAGAAGAAGAAGAAGAAGAAGAAGAAGAAGAAGGAGAAGAAGAAAGGAAGAAGAAGAAGAAGAAGAAGAAGAAGAAGAAAGAAGAAGAAGAAGAAGAAGAAAAAGAAGAAGAAGAAGAAAAGAAGAAGAAGAAGAAGAAGAAGAAGAAGAAGAAGTAGGAGGAAGAGGAAGAAAAAGACAATATCAATAGGGAAATAAGCCTCTAGTCTCATTATCATCAATGTTAGTATCATCATTATCAGCAGCAGCAGCATCATGAAAATAATAAAAATGACAATTAAAATTTATATTACCATGATTACATGTATTATCATTAATTGTTACCATTATCTTATGATCATTAAGATTTTTTACTCTTTGCGTGTCACAACTTTACCTCAATTAAACAAATCTATGAGGAGGGACCAGGGCAAATAGCTCCCCCCCCCCACCCCCACCCTGGGTTCCCTCGGCCGAACACAAAACAATCCTCAACTCATTCTGTAATTGAACTAGGAATAGCATATACTTGAAGTTTGAACAAAACATTTATGTTTTTTTAATGGTAATTACCTCTTTGAAAACCGATTAATCTCTGGAATTTTCATCCCATCGGCTTCCGGATACGCAGTGTAGCTAATTCCTGCCGTTTCCTTATTTGGTGAACTACTATTAAACGAAGCCCTATAAGCTGGCAATTATCTATATAGTCATCTCACTAGAGTAGACTCACTTCAATCTTTACTCAAACTTCCGCTTATTTTACACCACTCAACTCTAGATCTACACGACGCGTTGTGTGTGATTGTAGCCTTACGGACTGAAGTTAGAGTATACAAAATCAATTGCTAACAATTTGCAACAAAGATAGATAGATATTTAAATACATTATAGATTAATAAAAATACCTTTTTATTGAATTAAAATATATATTCCTTCATTAAATAATACTTTATGATTATTTAAAATAAAAAATAAATCAAAAACGAATAATTAAAATGACTATATTTTAATAATTTTGTTAAGGATTAAATTGGCAATGTAATGCAAACGTGACTCCTACACTCCGATCTAATATATGCGGAACCAACATCTACAGGTTGTTTTTCTCATTGTTGCACCTACTTCCGGCCGTGTGTACGTGTGTTATCAGATCGTCAGTTAGAATCATTTCCTACTTCTGAAATGATCGCAAAGTGAAAGGAAAACTGATGTTTCACCTCCTTTGGTTTTTATCAGGATTTATTCAGCTCACAATCGTGGACGAGAGAAGTCTTATCATCACCATAGCAGGTAATTATATCGTTGCTTTGCTTGATTTCGAATGTACCTCCGGTCTTTGCATTTTCAATTTCAGGCAAAGAAAATGTCCATGCCTTGAATTGTTCCTTGGACCATGGCCAGGCTTTACAAGCAGCCTACGCCCAGCGCAGGCCGCTCTATGTAGCACCGTACGTTGCACTGCGAGCTGCAGATGCCCCGCCATGAACTTAATTCGGCCACGGAATTGAAGGATCTATTCTAGAATTCTAGATCTGGAGCTGGTTTAGTTATGACCAGGCCAGGAAACATATAAATTTCGAAGTTTCTATTGTCTGTTTAATTTAAGAAGTGAGTTCTATCAAGCTCTTGTTATTTGTATCTAGATCTATATTCTAGATCGAGATAAAAGTTGAAACAAAGTCAAACTTCAGTCTTGAGAAGTTGCGTACTTGACACATGCACAGTTACAGGAATCAGGAGAAAAGGAAATTCATGTTTGAGACCATTTTCTTCACTCATTTTTTTTGTTTTTAGTGAATACAGACTACAGACTGTACAAATGTAGATTCAAGATCAATGTGTGACAGAAAGTGTTTCAGAGCATTTTATTTTAATTGGCCATGTTGCATGTTGATGTTAGGTGCTCACAATTCTTCTTCTTTTTCTTCCTTTTCTTCTTCTTCTTCTTTTTATTTTTCTTCCTTTTCTTCTTCTTCTTCTTCTTCTTCTTCTTCTTTTTCTTCTTCTTCTTCTTCTTCTTCTTCTTCTTCTTCTTCTTCTTCTTCTTTTTCTTCCTTTTCTTTTTCTTCCTGTTCTTCTTTTTTATTTCTTCTAGTTCTACTTCTTCCTCTTCTCCTTCTTCCGTTTCCTCTTCCTTTTCTTCATCTTCCTTTTCTTCATCTTCCTTTTCTTCATCTTCTTCTTGTTCTTTTTACCCTCTTCTCCTTCTCCTTCTTCTTCTTCATCATCATCATCACATCAGCTCCCTTTTATTCTGTTGGCCTACCTTGGCTATCCAGAAATGCATGTAGACCCTGCCCCACAGTTTACATACATGTACAACCTGTACATGTACATGTATTTCCATTAAAGAGAAGGTTGAGTTCTGGGAAGAGGTGAAAAATAAATTGTGAGCATTACTCATTCTTATTATAATGCAAGTGTGGAAGAACATCAGTTAAGACATATGTTCCCTGAAAAGCATGGCTCTCCAAATGCCTTCATATTCTAAATATGCATGTAACATCGTAAATATCGGGGGGGGGGGGGGCCGGCTTTTTACGCCACGTGTTCGTGTAGTCCCATATACATCTTTCTGTGCAAGTGTTTGTAACTTTACCAAAACTTGGTCACATTTCTTATCATTTTGATGATTCCAGAACCTTGCAATACACACAAACTCTTACATGCTAGATGATCAACCTTTTCTGGTCAGTTCCACACCGTTTCTTTCACAATGCAATCGCATGACCAGAACTCAACTTCATCTTTAACTCTTCAGTTGCTTTCTTTGCCTCTATGCACAGTCATTCCTTTGCCACACTTGCAACTGTGCACACAACAGAAGGCACCAAATGACGAAAGGGTTGCTACATGTTTACATACATGTACAGTACCGTATTCAGTAATGCATCACAGTGGCTCATGTCCAGTCTTGAGACTCTTGGTATTTTGTAAGCTCCATGACAACCCATAACGCTGGTATCTTGCACAAGAAACAGTAAAACGATCGTAAAGGCAGCCTTTGATATGTCCATCCCATGATAAATGTATTGTGGCACAGTAGGCCCGTCTTCACTATCTCGAGATTGCCAAATATCCAGCTATTTGAACTATCCCGATCGCAAACTATCCAGCTATTTGCGTCTTCATTAGACCGAAGTAGCAAATTAGCTGGATAGTTGGTCGGGATAATATCCCAAGATATCTCGGTCTAGTTTGCAAAATATCCCACTATTTCCGAACTAGCGGGATAGTTTACGACCGTCTTCATTAGACCGAAGTCCGGAGTCAAATATCCCGATCCCATCATGCACAACGATTTCCGGTTCGCACTATGTCGAGATTGCCAAATATCCAGCTATTTGAACTATCCCGATCGCAAACTATCCAGCTAATTTACGTCTTCATCAGACCGAAGTAGCAATTAGAAGGATATTTGGTCAGGATTGTCATCCCAAGATATCTTGGGATAGTTTGCAAAATATCCAGCTATTTGTCCCGTGCGTCTTCACAAGACCGAAGAATCGCAATACGCGCTAACGCTGAGCAAAATATCTTGAGATAATTTCTCAAGGTCGAGTTTTAAGTTATGAGGTCGAATTTAGAGATAGTGAAGACGCGATTTGTTACTTCGTGATTATTTCCCAAATCAGAAATAGCGGGCTATTTGGCAATCTCGAGATGATGAAGACGCGCCTACTGGGTCTATTGGTGCCTAAATTGTTTTGTGCAAAATTGCTTGTTTGTCATGTACAAAAATATCTCTAATTTCTGCTTTCCTCTCAAGACTCAAGTGCCTTCTCCCTTGGGCCACTACTCATATTAATTTATTAGGGATAGCATCCTACATGTACATGCATTTACATACAGTACTGTACATCATTACATGTACAGTGTGCCTTCGAGAGCAAATAAACCCTCCTATTAAATTCATACAATTTTTTGAAAAAGTGAAACTTTTGTAATTTTGTTTGTTGGAACAAATGGGAAAGTTTTCTGCCACTACAGCCCAGAAAAACTAGCGATTCATCCAATTTGACGAGCCCATACCTACAGTACATGCACAGTACATGTACATGTAGTGATTGTAACTTACAAAGATGCATGACTTTCTAGATTTTTGTCCGATTTCATAATTTTCATTCAAACTTTCACCCGTATGCTGACTGATTTTTCTGCTTTCTTCTAGATTATTTTGGTCTCAAGGTTGGATTTCCCTTAAAAATGAACAAATGAATTAATTAGAAGTGCATGACTTTGTGCTTTCATTCAAACTATCACTTGTATGCTTTTCTGATTTGTCTGCTTTCTTCTAAATTAGTTTGCTCTCTACCGGTATGTTGAATTTTCCTTTGTTCACTGGAGTACATTTATGTGTACATCAGCCGATTAAAGGTAAAGACCAGTTATGGTCATGCGATTGCATTGTGAAAGAAACGTTGTGGAATCTATCAGAAAAGGTTGATCATCTAGCATCTAGCATCTAGCATCTGCAAGGTTCTGGAATCATCAAAATGATAAGAAATTTGGCCCATTCTTCGTAAAGTTACAAGCACTATACACAGAAAGATGTATATGGGACTACCCTATATCTCTCACAGACCATGAGAGAAACAAATTTACTTAATATATGAATTAGTAGGCGGTTTCCCAGCAAATTTTGTATTATCATGTATTAGTCAAAACATATTCTTTCACATGATTGGTAATGAGAGCTTCCATTTCATTTTTTGAAATTGGGGCGTTTCCAATACTGGTCTTTACCTTTAATTTCAGTTTCATTAACAAATGAATGCAATCCATAAATGGTTTTGTGAAAGTGATATTTCCTGTGGAGTCTCTTCTTTAATCTGTAGTGCATGACTTGCATGCATGAGTGACACACTTTTGCTTTCATTATGATTTAGGGCCTGATTAGTTGAATGCGATACTTGTTGAAGCATATAATTTGTATGCACTGAACTTTTGAATGTCCATGATGCACATAGTACATGTACAGTGTACAGTTACAGTACCAGGAATTGTACGCAAGGTCAATCAAGTACTTTGAAATCAGGATACAGCCCTGGAAAATACTTCTATTCAGGATGTTGGCTTTATACACTGAACTTTAACACATACATGTACAGTATGTCCAATGTGAAACTCAAAAGTTTTTAAGCATTGAATAAATTAATTTACTTCCTTATCAACTCCATGAAATATTCGGCCTAAATTCACTTCTCAAGATCTCTTGTAGATCTACTCTTTCTTGTTTTTCACTCTCTCCTTCAATGTTTCTTTGGTCCTGTGCTACCTGTGTGTTTTCTCTCCCTCTCTCCCACTATCTCTCTTGTCTTCTCTCACATCTTTCTCTTTAATACACAGCTGCTATCTATTCACATGTACCCTCCCCTATACTCTCCCAATATTTTATCCAACTCCTTTTTGTTCTTTCACATCATTGTCAAGCCATTATGTCTTTTGGAATCCAATTTTTCTTTTCCTTTTCATTTGTCATTCCTTCTCTTTCCAAACCATCTTCCATATCTGCCCAATACTACTGTACCTTTAAGCTATGGTCACAAATTAGAGCAGCGACCGACTGATCAGTAGTATGCTCAGTCGCTGCTGGAATTTAGGCATCGCCCAGCGATTAGGTCGGTGCCCGGGCGGCGACCGCCCAGGTATCGAGCGTATTTTGGACGGCGAGTGAAAAGTGAGCAGGCGCCACCCAAATTTTAACTCCGCGGCGTCCGCGCTTAAACTTCAGCGGCGACCAAGCGATGCCCTAAAAATGAGCGGTGCCTGGGCGGCCGCCGCTCGGTGGCCGGGCAGCCGCCGGGCAGAAGCCGGGCAGAATTGGTTAAAAACTCGCCTCTCGGCGACCGAGCAGGCTATTTTGGGGTAATGTGACCATCACATTAGCCTCTGTGCCCAGTCTTCTTGTGCATACATGTACATGTACATGTACATGTAGCTATTATATCAATTAAAATCAGTTTCTTCACAATCTCTCATTTTTATCATCCATTACAGCCTCTGAAAGACGTAGAGAAAACAGGAACGGCTGTAAGATCTAATCTTACAACATCGAGAGAAGAGGAAAATACGTTCCTGCAGCACACTTCTTTGTAGAATATTCAGAGGAATACACAGACCAATATGGCGTTGACAGACGAGGCAGAAATCAGGGAATACTTCAATGAGGTTAGTTCTTTTGTTGATTCTCTCTTTTACTCTCTCTCTCTCTCTCTCTCTCACACACACTCTCAATCCCTCTCCTTCTCTCTCTCACTCTTTACTCTCTCTTTCTTTCCTTTTTTTTCTCTCTTTTTGTTTGTTTCCCTCTCTCTTTTTTATTTTTCTCTCTCTTTTGTTTTCGTTTCTTCCACACTTCCATCTGCAGTGAAAGTTGTACTGCATATGCAGAGGTCTACTTGTAAACTGTACACTATTTAGTCTATTTGTTGTACTTGTGCATGTATGTTTATTAGACCCGATTGAGGATAGACAGGGGCTGATGAGGATTACAAGTAATTACAATTCTAAATGCCAGTATAACAAAATGCCTGTTTGGGCATCGTTTTGAACGAAAAACTTGATAAAGAATCAGCATCATGTTCGAGTACGACATCATATCGTAGGAAAAATCATATGAGTGGGCGGGGCTTAACATAACTGGGCAGTCATGATTGGCAGGCTGTCATGTCAACTGATCCCGTCAAAACCAGTGTGTTTACAACATTTCTTTTAAACTATGTTGTTTGTCTGTACATGTACAGGTAGTGTAGGCTCCTTATTAAAGGCCCACTGCACTACTTGTAGCTACTTGCGCCCTCTTACAACAAACAATGCCTAATCGGTGACCATTGGTCCCCCATGATCCTCTTTTTCTTATGTTAACTGAGAGCTGAGTTGATGAGATAACCACCTGTCCAGTGACCTTGCAGGGCGCTCTAATCCCTCCTGTAAACTATGGCAGATAAGCTTTAAAGCTTTAAATAATGGTTCTTTATATTCACATTCTTTTTGAACAACGTTTCTTTAAATATTAAAGTTATCTTCTACTACTAGTCTGTATGCTCCTTTCACCTGTGATAATTCTTGTATGTTTTTTACAAGTTTCTTATGCATTTCCTGTAGTCTGAAATGCTCTACATGTAGGTGCAGATCAGACACCATACAGTTGTTCAAGCACAGAAGGGTATATTGTGTTTGACCTTTAAGAAAAGCGGATGACCTTTATCAAATAACCAGCTGTGAATGACTCATATCACTATATCTGGCTGGCTAGTGGCTACCTGTTAGTGTGACTAGTCTGCAAGAACAGACTCTTACAATGTAACCACAACAATCCACAAAGCCTTGAGCAGAGCCTAGATTATGTTTGAAGAAACTTTGTAGGCCTACTGTTTTCATTTTCACTTCTGCCAGTGCTGGAGCTTGGAAGCAAATTAAATCTGGATTACTTCCTGACCATTAAATCCCCACCCAAAATCCTGAACATGAAAATGATAGAAAGGGGAAAAACAAAAAATAACACAAGTGAAATAGAAAGAGAAAATGATAAGATAAAATATGAATAACATGCTTAAGACGAAAGATAAGAGAGATGCTGATAGAGGAATAGAAGCAGAAAAGAATAAAAAAAGAAAGGGGAGAGAAAATGATAGAAGAATAAAACAGAGAGAGAGACATACATGTACATGTACATTGTAAGGAAAGATAAAGGAGAAAATGATAGAAGGAGAAAATGATAGAAGGAGAAAATGATAGAAGGAGAAAATGATAGAAGGATAACATTTCAATATAAACCAGCTTGTCAGATCATACCACTTGTACAGTACATGTATATAATTTATAGCATGAATAAATAAATGGTCTCTAGTATGCTAGTATTTTTTAATGAATGTAGTTTACACGTACATCTAGGAAGTCAGAAAGAAGAAAACAAATCAAAAGAATATACAGATCTGATTACAATGTAATGTACGTGTACATGTACATGTATATGTACAATGAACCTAGTGTACAGTACATGCATGTAGAAAAGAAAATCAATATCCCATTCATTAAATCTTCATCAACTGATTTGCCTTGATACATGTACATGTAGTTAATGAGGCAAGGTTGAAGCATATTCCAGACTGTTAATTCTTTTTCATTCAGGCTCTAGATTTAGACAACATGAAACAAGTCTGGACTCCACTCGATTTTATAGCTAGACGCCTAGACGATTGATTTGCCAGGTTGTCTGATGATGCAATGAAACTGGATCTTTCTGTCAAAAAGAAAGAAATGTGTTTTGCCAGAGCTGTTTCTGTAGTTCTCATTTACCTTTCGCTCTCGGTTTCTTTGTGTAGGTGTGTCATCTGGTCTTATTTTTAGAATAAAACCTTTCCCAGAGCTTTAAAGTCTTTCTTAAAGCCCCACTGTGCTACTTGTAGCTACTTGCTCCCTCTATATAGAAAACAATCGGTGCCTGAACATTGGTCCCCCATGATCCTCCTTTTCTTATGTAGTTGAGAGCTGAGTTAATGAGAAAGCCACCTGTCAGTGACCTCGCTGTGTGGTCTAATCCCTTCTGGCCCAGTAGTATTGACAGTCTTTAAATCCTTGTATTGAAGGGGCAGTCTATGAAATTCAACTGGCTATACATGTATAGGTACATGTACATGTACTATGTACATGTAGGAAAGAAAAAGAGATAATCAGGGCCCTATCACCTCAGCTTGGAGGTGGATTGCAACATTTTTCCTTAAAGATAAACTTGAGTTCTGGTAAAAAAAAAAATGAATTCTCACAGAATCTAACGAAACTTACACTGAATGTTCAAGATTACAAATAAATGTCATGTGCCAAACAATTTTGGAAGAAAATGTATACTGGCTGAGTAATGAGCATAGAAAGATAAGGAAATCAGGGTAGTACTAGCCCCGACACCATGTGTGTTGTCCCTTATACATCTTTCTGTGTAAGTGATTGTTACTTTACCAAGACTCTGCCAAATTTATGATGATTTTGATGACTCCAGAACCTTGCATTACACACCATTACTTATGTATATGCTATATGATCAACTTTTCTGATCCATTCCACACCTTTTCTTTCACAATGCAATTGCATTTAATACCACAACTCAAGTTTATCTTTAATCGCAAATTCTTTGGAGTTGATATCAATTGCAACTACACGTACAGTATGCACAATGTACAGAGATTGCAAACTTACGATTGATAAGAGGACCTGCGATTGAAATTTTATATTTGTGATCGAATTACAAATTGACAAGTTCTCTTTATTCTTCGGGAGCAGTTCTCTGTCTCTGTAGTATGACTATAAATTTTAGGTAGCTATTAAGACTTTTTAACATATTTAGGGTTTGGGAGGAGGGGGGGGGGGGGAGGGGTGGCACACGTATGGACAGTCTCTGAAAGGCAATACCCCCAGCCCCCCCCCCCCACTCATACATGTACACACACCAAAAAGAGAAACTATCAAACTGACGAAGAGTATGGCAGATCACATTTCTACATTGTAGTGCTATGCAAATTTGGTAGGATTGGAGGGGGGGGGGGGGGGTGGTACGAGTTGATCATGATCCCTTCTCTCCATAGGAACTCATCGGCGACCAGACAGAAACAACTCCATGTACACTGTATACACTGTACACAGCTACAGTATGATAATGATATCTCAGTTGATGGCACAGTATCTTTGTGATGCATAGACTGACCTGTATACATGTAGGGCAATTGTCTTGAAGGGTGAGTCATGGCTATGAGTAAAGCCTCAAGGGATGACACTGAACAGACAATGACATTAAACTAAACTAGAAGATTCTATCATCCCATATCTTTCTCCCCCTCTCCTCTCTCTCTCTCTCTCTCAGTCCCTCCCCACCCCTCCCTCACTGTCTCTCTCTCTCTTTCTCTCCCTTTGTCCTCCATCCCTTCCACCCTCTCACTGTCTCTCTCATCACTCCCCCCTCCCTCCCACCCTCTTCCTCCCCTCCCTCCCACCCTCTTCCTCCCCTCCCTCCCACCCTCTTCCTCCCCTCCCTCCCACCCTCTTCCTCCCCTCCCTCTCTCCATCCCTCTTTTCCTCCCTCCCACCCTCTTCCTCCCTCCCAACCTCTTCCCTCCCTCCCTCCCTCCCACCCTCTTCCTCCCTCCCAACCTCTTCCTCTCCTTCATCCCTCCCTCCCTCCCTCTCTCCCTCCCTCCCTCCTCCCCTCCCTCCCTCCCTCCCTCCCTCCGACCCTCTTCCTCCCTCCCTCCCTCCATCCCTCCCTCCTCCCCTCCCACCCTCTTCCTCCCTCCCTCCCTCCCTCCCTCCCTCCCTCCCTTCCTCCCTCCCTCCCTCCCTCCCTCCCTCTCTCCCTCTCTCTCTCCCTCCCTCCCTCCCTCTCTCCCTCCCTCCCTCCCTCCCTCCCACCCTCTTCCTCTCTCTCTCCCTCCCTCCCTCCCTCCCTCCCTCCCTCTCTCTCTCTCCCTCCCTCCCTCCCTCCCTCCCTCCCTCTCTCTCTCCCTCCCTCTCCTTACTCTCCCCTCCTCCTCTCTGTATCTCTCTACATTTATCAAGATAGGCCTTCAAGGAGAAGATAGCGATTTACAAATAATCTATCCATGTACAATACATGAAAGCTCCGAAAGAGCTCTAGTCATGAATCTGAAAACGATATGGGCATGTACAATGTACTGTACCTTTTTGTACATTTACACACATATTAATCAAAACATATATATTCTTTCACATGATCGGTAATCTAAGAGCTTCTGTTTCATTTTTTCAAGGGGGCATTTCCAAAACTGGTCTACCGGTATACCTTTAAAGGGATAGTTGAGTTCTGTTTTCAGACCGCAAATTCCTTCAAAGTGCATGGTTACTGCTCTTATTCTTATCTATGACATTTATAGTGCCCTTTGAGAACCTAAAATTGCTATGTACTGTAGGTCATTTTGGACCCCAAAATGTGTGAAATTAAGCCAATACGACCATACCAATTCAGCTCCACTTTAAAAAAAAACACAGTGACCGTTAATCAATTATTTAATTAAAAATAACAATACATGAGCCGGCTAATTGCGGGTAATATAAGCAACACGAAAATGCCAACAAAAAAGCCAACAACGGCGTTGACTAAAATTCGACGTAAAAGGCGTTATTTCGTGTTTTTTTCAACGTTTTTTTCAAATTTTTCAAAATAATAATTGTGGTGGTACACAAGTATTAGAAATCGTTATATTTCAGCCGTCTCTGAACCGATCTTGATCAAACAAAGATGATTTTGTCATTTAAATATTATGTTCTTTCAAATTTGACACTCAGTTTTTCATTATCTCACAAAAAAATGATTTTGTGTAGCGCCCTCTGCAACAGAACTCAACTATCCCTTTAAGTTGTTTGTACACCTGTACCTTGATCTTCAGCAATTTTCAGATACTTCCTTTTCCTGTCTATATGACCCACTTATATATTCGCCCTGTACTACATTAGTGCAAGGTGAATTTTGCAACAAACTTGGAGACAGTTTCTACTATTGCCAGATCTCGGAATAAATTTGATTAGAAGTAGCTGTGGAGGCATCAAAGAGGAACTCAAATACAACATTTTAGATGAAGGAAGTGAAAAATTGTAGCTTGTTATTGTAAATGACAAAAAGAGAGGCCTTTTTGGCATGAGATACAAATTCCTCTTTCGTATCCTTTGTCAATGTAACAAACAACCTTCAGCAGGGTTTCAAGTCTGTGAGAGAAAAAAATTATCCAAAGAGGTGGAATATTGCGAGAAAGGAAGTTCTAATTTAAATTTGGAATATTATGGGATATAACACAGCATATTTCATAAGAGAAGAGACGATAAAGGATGAAGAAAATCATAAAAGAAAAGAAAAGAAATAGAAAGACAGAACGAGAGAATTATTCTCTAAAAAAATTGAGTGATCACGGTTGCACTCCTCTGGAGAGTGAAAATGTAGTGAAAATAGAGTGAACATTCACTCTTTTCTTCTTTAATAGAGAGCACTCTAAAATCAATCGATTTTCACTCCTAAACAAGTGATCCCGGACGTCACTCCCAAGAAAGTGAAAATAGAGTGAAAATTCACTCTTTTTTTTAAAGAGAGTACATGTACTGTACAAAGGAAAAGGGCAAACAAATCACACAGACATACATAAAATCAGAATAATACAAGACAAGCAAATAAACAAACAATGATGTTTTGTCATGACATTTCGCTTTTGATTAGACAGGGTTCATACAGTGCACATACATGTACTGTGCACTGTACATTGTACATGGAGCTATAGAAATCAGGAATATGTGGACATTTATTAGTTGCTGCTTTTTTCCAGTCAAAAACAAGTTGTCAGCAAATTTGATAAAAAGCACTCCAGCCAGGGAAACATCAGGGAATTTCAAAGGCTTAAAAATAAAGTTGTCAGTCTCAATAGTTTGTGTCATGTTAAAGGTTTGAAGATGTTTTATGACATGTAGGTTTACAATTGATCTTGAAATTCTGAACCTCTGCTTTTTCCAGTCATGGAAAAAGCAGGGAATTAGAGAAAAATCAGGGGGAAATCAGGAAATTTCACTCCCTGTGAGAGCAACCTAAGAAGAAGAAGAAGAAGAAGAAGAAGAAGAAGAAGAAGAAGAAGAAGAAGAAAGAAGAAGAAGAAGAAGAAGAAGAAGAAGAAGAAGAAGAAGAAGAAGAAGAAGAAGAAGAAGAAGAAGAAGAAGAAGAAGAAGAAGAAGAAGAAGAAGAAGAAGAAGAAGAAGAAGAGAAGAAGAAGAAGAAGAAGAAGAAGAAGAAAAGAAAGAAAGAGGAGCTGGAGGAGAAGAAGACGGAATAAAAAGAAAAAGAAAATGAAGAAGAAGAAGAAGAAGATGATGATGAAAACAAGATATATAAAGCAGGAAAGGAGAAGAAGATAAATGTGGAGAACAAGAAAGAAGAAAAAGATGTAAAAAGAAAAGAAGAAGCCAAAGAAAAAGGAGGAGGTCCTTGAAGAAGAAGAGAGAAGTACATGTATGCATTCAATCCGAAAGCATCCCTACTTTAATACCAACTAACATACATGTTGAGTAGTTGACTGGTGATTAGTCAGATAATGATGCAGTGAATTTGATGAGGCCAGGTATTCCTTCTGTTATCTCTCACACCAGGAAGTAAGTCAATAACCATTGGGCCCTATCATTGGAGGTAAACAAAACTATGTGTATTCAGCTAGTCTACACCACAGACACAGCTAAACATTAGGAACAGTTACCATGCACTTCCCACTTAAAAGGTATAGAACAATTTTGGAAACGCCCCCCTCTCAAAAAAATGAAATGGAAGTTGTTATTAATATTACCAATCATGTGAAAGAATATGTTTTGACTAATACATGTACATGTACATGATGATACAAATTTTGCCGGGAAACCGCCTACTAATTGATATATTTGGTAAATTATCTATCTATCTATCCGGACCGGATAGATATCGCGCACGTGTCGCGTAGTCCATCTTTCTTTGTACAGTGCTTGTAACTTTACCAAGACTGGGCCAAATTTCTTATCATTTTGACGATTTCAGAACCTTGCGATAGACTCCAATACTTTAATAGATGATCAACCTTTTCTGATGTTTACTTTCACAATACAATCGCATGACCAGAACTGGTCTTTACCTTAAAACAAGATACAGACAATAATTCAAAATTACTGAAAGGAACAATATACACTGTAAAAACAAATGCTTGGGAAGAATGGCCCTGAAAGAGAGAGAGAGAGAGAGAGAGAGAGAGAGAAGACAAAAATACCAACTACATGTACTTGTACAGAGTCATATTAATAAATAGAAACTAAAAATTCAAGAAGAAGAAGAAAGATTTATGACTAGTATCCAATCCATACATGTATACAGTGTATTGTCACAAATAATATCATTTAGAGTTAATTCAAACCTGCAACTGTCTTGAATAGGACAGAGAACTATCCACCACACTAGCGAGTGAGATGACACACACGTGTATCCAACGACAACGTGCCTAACAAGTGTTAACCCTTCATGACTCAGGTGGCAAAAGTAGCAGGTGTGTGCGTCATCAGAAAGGCGGCCTACATTTTAACTTGGATACAATTATTACTGCACATGTACAGTGTAGGACACACATGTGCAGTAGCAATGATTAAAAGAATGAAATTATATTAAAAGGTTAACGAGTGTATGAATGATAATGAACAAATGATTGAATGAAAATCAATGAATGGATTATTAAATGATTGAATGAATGAAGGATTGATTGAATGATTGAATGAATCAAGGAATGATTGAATACATAACGAATACATGAATGAATGATTGAATAAATAATGAATAAATGAATAATTGAATAAATGAAAGAAGGAATGAAGGAGTGAGTGAATAAATAATGAATAAATGAATGAAGAAATGATTGAATGAATGAAGGAATGATTGAATAACTAATGAATGAATGAATGAATGAATAAATTATAAATAAATGAATGAATAATGAATAAATGAATGAATGAATGAATGAATAAATTATAAATAAATGAATGAATAATGAATAAATGAATGAATGAACAAATGAAGGAATGAACGAACGAATGGTCAAATGAATGCGTACGATTTCTTTCAAGCTTCCCCAAATCTGCTTCTCTTTTGTTCTGCTTTCTTTCAGAGTACATTATTTTGCTAGTATTTGTATAACACATGTATTTTTTCTCCATTTAGTATGTACACTGTGATCATGTAGATTGACATCTGTGTGTTATTTGTTCACAGATGGACTTGAACCGAGACGGTTTTTTGACGGCCAACGAGCTCCAGGAGATTCTTGAGCAGTGCAACGAGAAGGTCCCAGGGTTTAAGATTCGACAATACATTGCTGAATACGATACCGACAAGAATGGCGCCCTCACGTACGACGAGTTTATAAAGGTAGGTAAACTGTGCGATTTTCATTTCCTTTAAACTTTAAAGATTTTACAATTTTAAAGCCCCACTGTCCTACTTGTAGCTACTTGCTTCCTCTATATAGAAAACAATGACTACATACACAATGTATGTAATCGGTGGCCATTGGTCCCCCATGGTCCCCCATGATCCTCTTTTTCTCATGTTAGTTGAGAGCTGAGTTAATGAGATAGCCACCTGTCAGTGACCTCGCTGTGTGGTCTAATCCCTCCTAGCCACACTAGTGTTGATAAGCTTTAAAGGCCCACTGTACTACTTGTAGCTACTTGCTCCCTCTATATAAAAAACAATGACTACATGTAATCTTGGTTATCGGTCCCCCATGATCCTCTTTTTCTTATGTTAGTTGAGAGCTGAGTTGATGAGATAACCACCTGTCAGTGACTTTGCAGGGTGGTCTAATCCCCCTTGGCCAAACTAGTACAGACAGGCTTTAAACTTTACAGACCTTAAAGGTTATTTTTGGTAATGGAAGATTGCAAAAAAACAGTCAAGAGCATTTCATGATCTAAAAGAGATTAAATCCTTCTTTAAAGGGACTAAGTAACATTGTTCAGATAAGAGAAAATGGCGCTAAGATAGTGACTTGAATGCTAGATGTACAATTAGAGATTATCTGAAAGTTTGAGTGAAAACAGACCATTATTAATGATAACAATTTGGGAAAAACTCATCAGATTGATTCCTTAATTCTCCCTATTACAAATTGATTACATTTAAAGGTGAATGTACATGTACAAGTAAATCATCACAAAGCAATGAATTGGCTCTATATACATGTACATGTACCATTCCAGACTGTAAGTGTTGAAAGATCTTTAAAAGCCTGTCTTATTCATATTCATATTTTTATTCTTCTTATTCTTCTTATTCTTTAAAGATAAAGGTGAGTTCTGGTAAAAAAAAAAAAAAAAGAATTCTCACAGAATCAAACAAAACCTACATGTACACTGAATGTTCAAGATTACAAATAAATGTCATTTGCCAAACAATTTTGGTAGAAAATGGTTACTGGCTGACTAATGAGCATAGAAAGATTAAGAAATCAAGGTTAGTAGCCCCCGACACCATTTGTGTAGTCCCATATACATCTTTCTGTGTACAGTGCTTGTTACTTTACCAAGGCTGGGTCAAATTTATTATGATTTTGATGACTCCAGAACTTTGCAGTACACACCAATACTTACATGTACATGTTACTTGGTCAACCTTTTCTGATCCATTCCACACGTTTTCTTTCACAATGCAATCGTATGACCAGAACTCACCTTTTCTTTAATTCTTATTCGTCTTTATATCATTATTATTATCATTATTACCAGTTATACCATGACATCAAGAAGGGCAAGGCTTCCGCCGGCTTCCTGACCGCGGTCAAGAGCCGAGTTGGAATCCAATCAGAAAAAGGAACGTCTGATGTAAGCGCAACGGGAACAACTCACTCCTACTCAGTAGAGGAGACTGCTGCTTTCACAGGTACATTTAATATATGTTGTGTCCATACCATTTTTGTTTTCTTCAAATAAAGTCTTTATTCTATTTTGTTGAAGTATAAAAGGGCCATTCCATGGTAACTCGCGTTACACTTAATGGGTACATTGACACGATAATGTGCCTATATCTTTAGAACTGCTAGGATCTACAAGATACTTTTTTCAAACATGGACAGGGTAGATATAGAACAACTGAATGAAACAAAAAAGAAAATTGAAGAACAAACATTTTTAGATTCTTGGATTATTGAATTTCGGTAACTCTCGTTACAAAAAAGGACATGGTCAATTCTACGAGACCCTCTTTTCTCCTCATACTAGACAATCTTGACAAAATCTTTCCTACTTTAATTTGATAGTAGGTTGTGACTTACTAGTATAAGATCACAATATTAAAGATAAGAAACAATGGACTAGTAAAATGCAGGAAGCAAATATGTCGGTAACTCACATTACGGTAACTCGCGTTACATTTTGTCCGGAGGCCATTTTCACCCCTATGTAATAGATTAAATACCACAGGACCCCTTAGAATATTGAAATATATTCATCTTTTTCCATTTAGCGAAATTTTCAGGAAAAAATATTACAAGAATCCTGTGTAATCTGCAATAAAAATTTTTTTTTTCAGCTACAGTCCCACATGTACGATTTTGATGATAGTTTGAGATCCTAGGAAATCAACAAAAATGAAAAAAAAATTGTATTGAATTTGAAAGGCCCTAATGTTTTATGAACATCCATGGCATAAGGTTAGTGATAAATCAAAGAATTATCATAAGAGGTACATTTCTTTTTCTGATGTCATGTCCTTCTTCTCATGGAATGGCCCAAAACGGTATTCGTTAAAATTTTTTACAAAATTTCACTCCTGCAATATCAGTTGTGTTCATACCCTTTCACTTGAAATAAAGTCTCAATTATATTTTCTTAGAGTATAAACAGTATTTATAAGCAAATTTACAAAAGTTTGCAGGTACAATATACAGTAGGTTACCGGTATGTTCATACAGTACATGTACTTTCTCTTTTTTTTTCTTCAAATGAAGTGTTAATTAATTCAATTTTGTCAAAGCATTTATAAACCAGTTTTTATCAGCAAATGTACAAAATCGGTTTTGCTCACCCCGTTTGAAAATATTTTTCAGATCAGGTCTTCATTCAAGTTTTCTCCAAACATTTATAAATAAAAAAGTATGAGCTAATGTAATTCTAATATTTATGACTTACATTTAAGTACAATGTATGCAATTGTTTAATTGGCTTTTTCTCCAATGAATGTGTATTTTTGAAAGTTTCTATCTTTATTGCCCTTTGCATAAAGCTTTCATCAATGACGATAGTAAATTTCAAAATGATCCAATCCTTGGGCCGAGACTACCCATCCAAGGCGAGGATGGACTGTTTAATGCTGTTGCTGATGGCATCTTACTGTGGTAAGTTATACCCTTTCCTCATCCCCCAGGCCCTTGTCATTGCAATACCCCTTCCGTTCCCCATCCCCTCCCCCTTCAAGTTCCCCTTGCCGTCCACCTTCCCCTTCCTCAACCTTCCCATTGCCCTCCCTTCCGTACCCCTCCCCTCCACACCTTCCCCTCCACACCTTCCCCTCCCCTCCTTCCCCTCCCCTCCACCTTCCCCTGGCCCTTCCCCTTGCCCATCCCCACCCCTTCATCTCCCATTTCCCTCCACCTTCCCTTCCTCTTCTCTCCACCTTCCCCTTCCCTCCACCCTCCCTTCCCCTTCTCTCCACCTTCCCCTTCCCCTCCACCTTCCCTTCCCCTTCTCTCCACCTTCCCTTCCCCTTCTCTCCACCTTCCCCTCCCCTCCACCTTCCCTTCCCCTTCCCCTCCCCTCCACCTTCCCCTCCACCTTCCCTTCCCCTTCTCTCCACCTTCCCCTTCTCTCCCCCTTCCCCTCCACCTTCCCTTCCCCTTCTCTCCACCTTCCCCTCCCCTCCACCTTCCCATGGCCCTTCCCCTCCACCTTCCCCTTCCTCAACCTTCCCATTGCCCTCCCCACCTCCATGGTCTCTTCCTTCCCGTGCCACTCCCTGGTGGCAGCGGTGGGATCAATGTACCAGAAAACTTAGAGGTGTCGTGGACGAGTGGATACATGTATGTCACCCGACTGTGGATCGCAAGGTCCGCGGTTCAAGTCCCACCGCGGCACTAATGTATTTTGGCAAGACATTGATCTACATTTGCCACTCTCCACCCAGGTGTTAAATGGGTACCCGGTAGGATGCGAAAGCTAATGCGCTTTAATGGATTAGCAAGTGTGCACTTGTAAAAATAACGCCCGGCTGGAATGCTCCCCAGGGAGTGGAGAATGTGCATACATTGTGTGCGGGTAAGCCTGAATCCGACGACTGGGATAATAATGATAATAATTTTCTGGTGGCAGCTTTTACCGTTTGGTTAGGAGGGTCTCACGTTACGGGTATTGAATCACAACAAATCTTTTGATTTCATTTCTTTTTCCGGCACAATATCTAATAAGTTATAAAGTCTGCAGGCAGTTGATTATTAAATGGTATATCTCTTGTCACCTTTTATGAAAATTCTCTTCTTTGTTTTTGCAGCAAATTATCAACAAGTCATATCTGAATACAATTGAAGCCCCACTGCACCACTTATAGCTACTTGCGCCCTCTATATAGCAAACAATGCCTAATTGGTGGTCATTGCTCCCCCATGGCCCCCTTTTTCTTATGTTAATTGAGAGCTGATTTGATTATATAACCACCTGTCGGTGACCTTGCAGGGAGGTCTAATCCCTCCTGGCCAAACTAGTGTGGAGGGGGCTTTAAAGAAAGTGCTTTCAAATCATTTAAAAACTCTCTTTTTTTTTAAACAGCAAAATGGTCAACAAGTCAAGTCCAAACACAATTGACGAGAGGGCCATCTCTACCGGGAAGCTCAACAAATTCACCCAGCTAGAGAACCTCACCCTGGCCCTTAACTCTGCCAGGTCCATCGGCTGCAGCGTTGTCAACATTGACCCCTTGGACCTGCAACAGGGGACCAAGCATCTGGTACTAGGTCTGGTGTGGCAGATCATTCGGGTAGGTCTCAAGGAACTCTTCCACTCTTTATATCTACAGTGTACATGAAGTGTACGTAGAAGTAGAAGTGTCGTAGTTGAGTGGTTTAAGCACTTCACTTGAAATTCAAAGGACGTGGTTCGATCCCTGATACGGCACTAATGTCTTCTGGCAAGGCATTAATCTTCATTTGCCACACTCCACCCAGGTGAGGTAAATGGGTACCTGGCATGAAATACCCGGTAATTCCTTGAAAGGCTGGAGGGCTGTAATGGCAGCTAGGCTAAAGCCGGGGTAATAATTTATGCCCCACTGAATAGAATTTCTAGATAGACGGTGCTACAGAAATTCCTATTATTTCCTATTCATTATTATTAATTACACGCATATATCACAACACCTTCTCCCAGCTTGGAGGTTGATTGCAACATTTTTCCTTAACTTTATAAAAAACTATAGAACCTAGGAACAACCGTAAATGATTCTATAGCAGTTGACAAATCTATTTCATCTATGAGAGACCTTCACCCCAGAACAGCACCAACTTGTTTATGCAATTTGCTTTCTGAGAAATTGTACATTAGTCTTGCTTTATGCCTCTCTCATACACTTTGGCGGGGAATCTTGTAGGTTATTGGGCAAGAATATAATAATTCTCTCAGAATAAGTAAAGTTATTTCTTGGGGTGAGATTTCCTTTAAGAGACCAGGGGGGTGTTTCACAAAGATCCCAAGTCGAACTTAACTCTAAGTTGGACTTAAATATTATGGAGAGCTATTCGCAGCCTTATAATCAAATATATATTCAAAAGCAAAAATTCAAGTATTTTAGACTTTTCATAAATTCCACATCAAGAACATGAAATCTCCCATGATAGTAGAAAATATGAATGATTTGAATCAACATTTAATGCCTTTAAAATAACTTTTACAACAAAATTTGAAGATGCTAACGGCTTTCCATAAATTCTAAGTCCAACTTGGAGATAAGTTCAACTTGGGATCTTTGTGAAACGCCCCCAGATGTCTTCTAATGTGGCCAACTGAAAGTATTTTAACCATTCCTATTAGGATAATGTGGTTTTATATGCCTTCATGGTTACTGTAATTGGTAGTAATGCTCCCAGGCGAGTGAAGATGGTGCACACATAGTTTGTGTGCAAAACTCAAATGGCAAGAGAAATAATGACTGAACACTACAGGTTTTAAATTACTATTGTTTTTCTAAGTGTGTTGGCAGTTTGTACGTCAGTGTATTTGTTATACTGTATCGAAAGCCAGATCAAATATTTACCTTGTCTATTTTCGAGAATACAATAACACGGAACCTCAAGATAAAAAAGACTGAGCAAATTATTTATTGCTTTCAATACAGTTTGAATGTGTGAGATATTAAAGTGAAAAACTCACTCGAAAAATATCAGGAACACGTTTTAAAGGTAATACAAAGTTTTGGTATGGGGGTCATGAATTTGGTTCAAATGAACATATGGGAAGCATATGCGATCCTACAATATGCAGTGATTGTTGTCGCGGTCGAAATCGACTCTAAAGTTATAAAATTGTAAATAATAAACACTTTATGTTGAATAGCTCCCTCTCAAGGTCAAGATATTAATTAAGCTATAAAACAATGTTTATTGACTAAAATCGACCGATTTGATATTCCCGTTCGGAAATTATATACCACAACTACATATTCTGAGATTTTCATGGTCGCAGCTACCATTGTACGGCCGTAGGAGCTTTTTAAAATTTATCAAAATTTACTGGGAGCACCGGTAAATCTTTATATTCAATTTTTCACGAAAGCAGAAGTGTTTTAGGGGCTAAAGTTTCTAGTGCTTTTAATACATCCACAGGGGCATCCAAATATATCAAAATTGTAAAGATTCACTATCCACCCATTTTCAAAATTTCCCAAAACTTTGTAATACCTTTAAAGGAAATAATTTGATTCTCAATGTCTTGTTGATGATATTGAAGCATTCTCTGAATAGCATTTTTAATATTAGGCTCCACCTTAATTTAATTTAACTTTCATGGTACATGTAATATTACCTTCACAAATTAATCCCTGCTTGTAATGATTTGGAAATTTGGTAGATTAAAGATAAACTTGAGTTCTGGTAAAAAAAAGAAAACGAATTCTCACAGAATCTAACGAAACTTACACTGAAAGTTCAAGATTACAAATAATGTCATGTGCCAAACAATTTTGGAAGAAAATTTATACTGGCTGAGTAATGAGCATAGAAAGATAAGAAAATCAGGGTAGTACTAGCCCCGACACCATATGTGTTGTCCCATATACATCTTTCTGTGTATTAAAGTGATTGTTACTTTACCAAGACTCTGCCAAATTTATGATGATTTTGATGACTCCAGAACCTTGCATTACACACCATTACTTACATGCTATATGATCAACTTTTCTGATCCATTCCACACCTTTTCTTTCACAATGCAATCGCATCACCGGTACTCAAGTTTATCTTTAAAGGGAAAGTCCACCCCAAAAATAAGTTTGTTTCGATAGAGGCAGAATAATAAGAAAATCAGGTGAAAATAAGAAAGTTATGAATTATTGAAGTTGTGATCAATCAAATACAAATTGGCAACTCTGTGACTTATCATACGAGCTCTCCTTCATTTGCTTTGTGCATAATATTCCATAAAATCATGTTTTCTTCGTTATTGATGACGGAATATATATTTGTTCCTTGCAGGGGGAGTATAGAAACATATTTGCAATTATTATATTTAGGGTGCATGTATGGTTGAAATTTTTCTTGAGGGAAAATGAAAATTTTAGATTTTTTTAGTACTGAGCAAATGGAAGTTGAGCTCGCATGATACGTCATAGAGTTGCCAATTTGTGTTTGATTGATCACAACTTCAAAAATCCTAACTTCCTTATTTTTAATCGGAATGTGCTCAAACTTTCACTGACTTGTTTCTCTCATTTTTCTACTCCTATTAAAACTAACTTAATTTCAGGGTGGACTTTCCCTTTAACAACCATTTGAACATGTGCTTCCCTAATAGGAAGCTGACTATTGATTTATAAATACATACACATGTACTGGAAGCCCTTGCGATTACTACCATAATCTAATGATATTTTCCTTTTTATATAATCATATGGAGTAACTAATTGTTTTCAAACCACATACAATCTCATTAATTAATTGCTCTGGGGGGTTTAATGAGGGAATAAATTATTTACGGAAGATGTAACACGGTTTTCAATTGCTTTTTTCTATTAGAATACGAGAGATGATTCTGATTACTGTTAACTTTCTTAAAGACCCACCCATATTCATCAATCATCAATAGAAAGAAACATATTGTTTGTGGCTAAATATATTTTCTGCTTCTTCTCTGGAAATTGTTTTCATTAAGCTATGGGAGATCAACCTAGGTCCATGGTGTTAAGAAAGAGTGGCAACTGATTTCTAATTCTTTATCTTGGAAATTTGTCAGGCTCTCAAAGTGCCACTTAGCTACATGTATTTGGTCATACATGTAATTAAAATCTACCCCTAAATGCATACATTATGCATGTAATCCATACATGCCAACTGTTCAGATTAAAGAGGAACATTCCTCTTTTTGGGAGAAGATAATTATCATTTTAATGCAGAGGTTCCTCTTCCTGTACAAATTTGTCTGTAGTATTAAATAGGAGACTAGGAGAGTTAGGATTGTTCCTCTTTTTTTTGAAAATAGCATAATTTGTACAGATTTCTGATTTTCAAATGTTGGCATGTATGGTAATCGTATACATGTAGGTACATGTACGTGTATATTTTGTTACTGTAAACTCTGTAGCTTTATAAAACCTTAATTCAATATATCCCTCAAGCCAAATCTATTCTTTTGTTATGCGATCTTTAAGTGATTTGATAAACATTATTTCCTGGTTTATTGACACTTATAACCTATCCTCCTTGAGTTTTCTTTTGTCCCTGTAATTCCTATGGTAAAAAAAGAAACTTTGACTTAAAGTAAAAGGACATGTTTATTTTTATCCTGCATTGCCATTTGAGAATAGTTTTACATTTCCATTTTGTTTCCCCTGAACTTTACAAGCTATGTGTATATAGTTGAATGTACGTATATATGACAATGTATTTCAGTATACTAGTTTGTCCTTTCCTTCCTTGTGTTGAGGTTTATATTTTGTTGCTCCCTCTCTCTTTAATATGAAAGCTATTATATCAAGGATATATCCAGTTTCAAGGAGTGGCCATTAATATGAATTTATGTTTAGGTTTATATTTTCTCGCTCCCCCTCTCTTTAATATGAAAGCTATTATATCAAGGAAATATCCAGTTTCAAGGAGTGGCCATTAATATGAATTTATGTTTAGAATCGGTTAACAAGTGCGTGCATCTTACATATATTTTTAGAATTACTGTTAACTTTTGAAAGTGGAAAATGAAAATGAAATATGTGGTTTATAATTAAAGAAACTGCAACACAAATGGAATTTTCAATTTTCTGATCGATAGAAAAACAAAATAACATCAATTTAATAATGGATGTTCTTTGCTACATGTATATTATTTTAAACAGGCCGAGAGATACCGGTAGGCTGAAAGTATGGCGCAAAAGAACATCTGCAGTGTCATACACTGTACCTGTAGTTTTTGTTAAAGGATTTGGGGTAACTTTGTCTCAGATTCTGAAACAAAATTCTGGATTTAGCTCATGCTGCCATGATAATTATAAACCTTTATGTCAGTCAGGAACCCCATGACTTTTAGAAGCAGATCGCCTGTCTGATTATCAAGATAATTATGATTGGAAGTTGAAACCAAATTTTGCGTTTGCCAAACAACCTATTGGGGAAAAAGAGTATGGTAAAACCATATCACAGACAATGATAACATGTAGGGCCGTGTATATCAGATTAACATTGTTAAACGATGCCTTAAAAGGGATAGATGAGTTCTTGTTCCAGACTATGAATGCCTTCAAAGTGCATGGTTATTGCTCTTTATCTTATTTATGACATTTCTAGTGCTCTTTTAGGACCTTAAATTGCTATGAAGGTAATCTTAGATCCCCAAAATGTTTAGAAATTTAGCCAATACGATCATACTAATTCAGCTCCATATTTGAAAAAAAATGGGGACAGTTAATTGATTAATTATAAATTAATAATAACAATACATGGGCATATTATATTGTATTATATTGTGCATATTATATTGTGCATATTATTTCAATGGCTGGTTCAAATTACCAAATACCAAATATTTGTGGGGCACCACAAATATTACAAATCGTTATATTTATGGATATTTCAGCCGTCTCTGAACTGATTGTGATCAAACAAAGATGATTTTGTCGTTTATATTTATGTTCTTTCAAATTTGACACCCAGTTTTTCATCATCTCACAACAAAATTATTTGTGTAGCGCCCTCTGCACCAAAACTCAACTATCCCTTTAATGCTTGATTAATGACAGATTGGACTCTTTGCCAACATTGATCTGCACAACGTCCCTGGGCTGATGAACCTCCTCCATGACGGAGAGACCCTGGAGGATCTCCAGAAACTCACCCCAGAGGAGCTTCTGATCCGATGGGTCAACTACCATCTAGAACAAGGAGGTAAGAAATTGTAGTTCCTTTAGAATGAAGGCAGAGGTGGATTGGGGGGGGGGGTGGAGGGGGGTGGAGGGGGCTGAACTTGGAATCAAAGTCTGATCAGGCTTCTCCAGTAGTGAGGAATACCTAATAATCGTCAAACACTTACAAACTCATATTTGAAACATACTAGCTGCACACTAGGTGATTGATACATGTTAAGATATATACTAAGGGGTCATTTCTCATATGTGCCATGACATTGTAAAGTGACAGGTTCAGAAGGTAATTGTTGTTGTGGAATCAACAATTAAAGATATATGGATGTACTGCACAATACTTTGCTAATCTGCCTACTTGTTTAGTGACAACACCAGTAGTGATTTCTGATATGTCTACAGTTTTAATTTGTGTTATTATGTTTCTATGCCAAAGCCTATACCATGTTGTACTCATGTTTGTACTCATGTACTTGTGTGTTGTACTTATTCCTGATTTTGTATAATTTGATAGTACATGTACATGTATGTTTAATAATTGATGTTATATATCAATTGAAGAAATAGTCTGAAAATGATTTTTATACCATGTTCTTTTGTGGATGATCAATGAATTTGAATTGAAATTGATATACAATTAGCTGTCGTCGGCACAAAACCCTTCATTCAAACACTACCATCTCCTTGATTACATTTCCTTCAGGATCACCACGTCGCATCAAGAACTTCTCAGAGGACATCCACGACTCTGAAGTCTACAGCATTCTTATCAAGCAGATCGCACCTGCAGATAAGAAGGGAGAACTCGTTGAAGTCGTCCTTGGAAAGTAAGACCCTCTTCACACTATTATCTAAGCTAACTTTTGAAGATTTAGCTGGAGTCTCAAAGATGTTAGAAGATGTCAATATTGCTTTTCACAGTGAACTAGCAATACCACAGGTTTTTTGTCAGACGTGCATTCTGCACACTTTAAAGGTAAAGGCCAGTATTGGAAATGCCCCAATTTCAAAAAATGAAGTGGAAGCTCCTATTACCAATCATGTGAAAGAATATATGATGATAAAAAATTTGACGGGAAACCGCCTACTAATTGATATATTTGGTAAATTAGTTTATCTATTGTTACGTGAGAGATAAACACATGTGTCGCGCATGTGTGCGTAGTCCCATATACATCTTTCTGTGTACAGTGCTTGTAACTTTACAAAGACTGGGCCAAATTTCTTATCATTTTGATGATCCCAGAACCTTGCAGTACACACCAATACTTATATGCTAGATGATCAACCTTTTTTTGATCGATTCCACAATGTTTCTTTCACAATGCAATCGCATGACCAGAACTGGTCTTTATTGTTAACTTTTTTTTATCTGCTCAATATATTCTCATTTGAGATCATTCTCTCTGTTTGCTTCCTTGTATACCTCATTATTTGGTGTACAAACAACCAACAACAAAAATCTTCTAAACTTGCCACTCTCTATCTCAATTGGTATACCCGGTAGAAAGAAATTCTTTGAATGTTTTGGCGCCTAATGGTGGCTCAGCTAAAGCGGGGAAGTAATGGTACTCTGTATTAAGTGCAGTAGAGTAAATCATTCTTCTTCTTGTTCTTCTCCTTCTTCTTCTTCTTCCTTTCTTCTCCTCCTTTTTCTTTTTCTTCTTCTTCTTCTTGTTCTTCTCCTTCTTGTTCCTGTCCTTTTTCTTCTTTTTCTTCTTTTTCTTTTTTCTCCTTTTTCTTCTTCTTCCTTTCTTCTTCTCCTTTTTCTTCTTCTTCTTCTTCTTCTTCTTCTCCTCCTCCTTCTTCTTCTTCTTCTTCTTCTTCTTCTTCTCCTTCTTCTCCTCCTTTTTCTTCTTCTTCTTCTTCTTCTTCTTCTTCTTCTTCTTTCCTTTCTTCTTCTTCTTCTTCTTCTTCTTCTTCTTCTTCTTCTTCTTCTTCTTCCTTTCTTCTTCCTTTCTTCTTCTCCTTTTTCTTCTTCTTCTTCTTCTTCTTCTTCTTCTTCTTCTTCTTCTTCTTCTTCTTCTTTTCCTCCTCCTCCTCCTTCTTCTTCTTCTTCTTCTTCTTCTTCTTCTACTTTTACTTCTTCTTCATGTTCTTCTTCTTCTTGTTCACCTATCTCTCCTTCTTCTTGTTCACCTATTTCTCCTTCATTTCCTTCTCCTTCTCCTTCTGCTTTTTCTTCTAATTACCATACAATTCATCAACATAAATGTGTATCTTGTTCTCTTTCTACTTACCAAAGGACCTTGAGAAGCGAGCCGGTACAGTCCTGCAGAATGCGGATACGTTGGGCTGCAAGGCATTCGTCACTCCCAAGGCAAGTATCATCTAACAATTTGTGTAGTGTTGGTTATTTTACCTGACTGCGAAGAAAGCATAAATGCATGTTAGTAAACAACCAGGGGGGTGTTTCACAAAGATCCTAAGTAGAACTTAACTCTAAGTTGGACTTAAAAATTATGGACAGCCATTGGTGTCTTTTAATGAAATATATTCAAAAGCAAAAATTCAAGTATTTTAGACTTTTTATTAATTCCACATCCAGAACATGAAATCTCCTTGATGATAGAAAATATGAATGATTTCAATAAACAATGAATGCCTTTCAAAATAACTTTTACAAAATATTTTCAAAGATGCTAATGGCTTTCCATATTTTTTAAGTCCAACTTAGAGATAAGTTCAACTTAGGATCTTTGTGAAACACCCCCCAGATGACCAACAGCTTTTGGTCCAATCCAGAAGCCCTGATAATGAGGATTAATGACTTTCCAAAGTGCACTAGCGCATCGCCTTGGTTTCAAACCCGGGTCGCGGGATTACAAGACCACTGCTCTACCAGCTGAGCTATCATTCCTCATTTTGTGGTATCGCTCTGCGGATTCAGAGCCCCAAACCAATATTCCAGATTGAAAGTTAAAAAGGGCAAAATTCCTGCACATGATGCCAGGAATTTGAAAAGGAAATTTGAATTTGCATCACGTTAGAGATTCAAAATCATTGTTTTTTAATCAAAATTGGTTTGTTCCCCCTTCCATCGCAGGAAATTGTGAAAGGTAATTCCAAGCTGAACATGGCGTTCGTAGCAAACCTGTTCAACCATCATCCAGCCCTAGACCCCCCAGAAGACATGGAGTTTGAGGACGTCGAAGAAACAAGGGAGGAGAAGAGTAAGTTACATAATCAGGCCTGATAAAAACCTGATTTAAATCGGTTTCCCGATTTTTTTTTATTTTTCCCGATTTTTTCCCGATTTTTTTTTTCTTCCCAATTTAAAAAAAAAAAAAAAAAAAAAAAAAAAAAAAAAAAAATCATTTTTTTTTCTTCCCTATTTTATCCTGATTTTCCCGATCCCTCTTATTTTCTCTATTCTTCCCTATTTTGCCCTATTTTTTCCCCATTTTCATACTCGAAAGGGGGGATGTTGTTAAATGCCATTTTTTCCCCGCGAATCCTCTCTTCTTTTTTTTTCTCAAGGGGGTGTAGTTGAGGGGAAAACAAAAAACCTATTTTTTTTTTAGTGCTCACTATCACCCCTGATAATGGAAGAGTTCACTCAACCCAAACATGCTGCTTCTTACCATCTACTGTATAAGCTGTTATTTTCGTAAGGGTTTTATTTTTGCGAATGACATATTATCGCAAATTTATCAACACGCAAAAATATATTGGCACCTCATCTTACTGGTGCGCAAAAAATATCAGCATAAAATTGTGTGCTTGCGTTCTCTTGATCGCTAGCTACTGTACTATACTAGTACTAGTATTATGCCTTATGCTCATAATGTAATGCTGTCACTCCCCCCCCCCCCCCCCCCCCCCCCCCCCCGGCGTGTTCCTTTTCTCCTCGAGCGTATATTGCACAGATTGCATGACACAGGCCCGTAATCGGTACTGTACTCGGCTGTGTGTGGTGCGATGAGCTGCCTAAACTTGTTTGTGTACTAATACGTGAACGAGTCTGTGTGTGTATCTGTTGGCGTAAAAAAGTTTGTGAATACTTCGTGCCCATTCATTAATTCTGCTGTGTGCTATTCGCGAAATGTCTCTTAGCCTGTCATCCGCGAAAAATATCAGCTTATACAGTATTACCCTCTTTCCCCTTTTAATCTTTCTTAGTGCTCATGCTATGAGTAATTTTACTTGAATATCTAACATGTCAACGTCTATGTTTATTTATGACTTATATATTCACATTAGGTACTGTTTTTATTCTTGTTATATATATATTGCTTGTAAAAGTATCCCATGTAACATTTCATTTATTAACTTGGACCAACAAAATTGAATTGAATTGAATTGAATTGAATCAACTTTTTATAAAAATTGACTTTTCTTGCATGAGTTTACTAATTTGGGGGACTTCATGAAACCTGAATCCAGTATCGTATCAGTGCATGTGCTGACCGGCCTGCAGAGTTTGGGAAGGAAGGTCGCCATCTACTTTCAAACATCTTATTTGCGGAAGGGTCGATTGTAATTTATTTGTTAAGGATTATTTTATTTTTTTCTCCTTATCTTTAGCTTACCGTAACTGGATGAACAGCCTTAGCGTATCACCTTATGTGCACCATCTTTACTCTGATCTGTCCAACGGTCTCGTACTGTTACAGGTGAGTCACTTAACATAAATATGTATTATATAAAATATGGTAATGATAGGAATAACAGTAATGTAAATAATAATCAAAATAATAATAAGGAAAAGGATATTGATAACATTATTATAACAATGATTGTAATAATATACAGTAGGCTTACGGTTGCACCATGTGAGAGAGGGGAAGGATTGGGGAGACCCGAAAAGGACTCTCAGTAATCTTTCTTTCTTGAGTGAGTGTAGTCCTGAAAAGGACTGTTGGTAGTCTTTAAAAAGACTGTTGGTTATCTTTCTTAGCTTATAGTTCTAAGGAGAACTATAGCGCCGATTGGAGAGGATGGGTAGTAGGAGTGGCTCAACTTTTCGAACACGTTGTAATAATGATTATAATGATTTTGATTATGATTGCTTGTAGCTTATTAACAACGTGAATCCTGGAATTGTCAACTGGGATAAGGTCAACCAGGGTGCCACGCTGAAGAAGATGGGCGGCAACATGAAGAAGATCGAGAACTGCAACTACGCCGTCGATCTCGGACGAGAGATGAAATTCTCCCTTGTTGGAATCGGAGGTCAGGACATCCGAGACGGGAACCAGACCCTAACGCTAGGTAACTTGAAATGGAAATTAAGATCAGGGGGGTCTTTCACAAAGACTAAGATCATTATCAGGTTACAATAACTGTTATAAGCTACTGAAATCGTGGCATTTGATTGGTTGAGAGCAAATTTTTCATAGAAATATAGCATTTTTTATTGATAACCAGTTTGGTGAAACAGGGCACTGGGGAGTGCTTCATGAAGACTTAGATCAACTTTAAGTTGGACTTAACAATGGCAGGCCGTTCATGCCATTGTTTGCTTTCACCATTTACTGGCAATGATCTCTCACGGGATGTATAAATCATGGTCACAAGTCTACAGAATTGACATTTTTTGATAGTTCATTATTGAAGGAAAAAATATTGTCAAAAGATCATAATTAAGAGAATAATAGTGAAATCAACCAGTGGCATGAATGGCCTGCCATAGCTAATGATCCTAGTTGAAATCCACCAAATAACTAATGATCCTAGTTGAAATCTACCAAACAGCAAATGCTCGTATTCATTTTCAGCCATTTAACCAAATCTTGACATTACTCCTATATGATAACCATGTCTTTGTAGGATGCGACTTGCTTGATAGCCATTCCTCCATGGGAGTCGCCATCTTGATTGATATACTAGAGAAGCCAATGATATTTTCGCTAATAAAGGGCTCAAAGACAATTTTTCGCAAGTCTTTTAATTTGTATAAATCCACAACCACCATCAATTATATACTGTATATTATAACATATATTTTCAATAATCATCACTCTACTTCCATGGATTATGAACTCATTACTGAGTATCACAATCATAGTATTATAAGAACAATATCAAGAGAAGCGATTGAAAATAATCTATGAAGGTGTTCTATAACTTTCGGTGTTGCCTCAAACTGCGCTGCATGACCCGATGACAGCTCGTGCTGTAGTGTATGGACGCCATGTGTGGGACAGGCAACATGGCTTACTTTAGTGATTTCGAAATGCATCATTTCTTGGCTGTTTTTGAAATTTGTGATCAATGAGTGAAAAGCGAAAATAAAATTTGTGCAACAAAAAATTAAAATACCAGTGATTATTACTGCTTAGGCATTAGGCCCTAGAAAAAAACCCATTTTTTTCTATTCTTTTTTTTTTCTCCCTCTTTGGGCGATATTTCTCAGTTTTGAATGCTTTAATATTTTTTTCCTATAAAAAAACCTTAAAAAAATAAAATAAAAACTTGCTGACCGTACATTTCAAGATTTTAGGGCGATCGCAAAGGGCAATAAAACATCTTCTTTGTTGAGGCCTGAGTGATGACTTGCATAGGATGCATGTTGTGTTGTATAGTAGCATTGTTTGATTTTGTTTTTTTCTTTTTCTTATGTGCAGCTATTGTCTGGCAGCTGCTCAGAGCTTACACCTTGGGCATCCTACAGAAGATCAATGACTCAGACAAACCTCTGACGGACCCTCAAATTGTGGAATGGGCCAATAACAAGGTACTACTACTACTACTACTCCTAAAGAACTTAATTTAATTTAATTAAGTTACATTAATCTTGATCTAAGGAGACACGAACGAACAAACAAACTACTACTACTACCATTATACTACTACTACTACTTCTGCTACTTCTACTGCTACTACTACTACTACTACTACTACTACAACCATTTATACTACTAATACTACTACTACTTCTACTACTACGAACATTTATACTACTAATACTACTACTACTTCTACTACGACCATTACTATACAACTAATACTACTACTACTACTACAACCATTTATACTACTAATACTACTACTACTTCTACTACTACGAACATTTATACTACTTACACTACTACTACTTCTACTACGACTATTATTATACTACTAATACTACTACTACTTCTAATACAACCATTACTATACAACTAATACTACTACTACTACTACAACCATTTACTATAATACTACTACTACTACTACTACTTCTACTACTACTACTACTACTACTACTACTACTACTATTACTACTACTGCTACTACTTCTGCTACTGGTACTGCTGCTACTACTACTACTACTACAACTACTACTACTGTAACTGCTTCTACTACTACTACTACAACTGATCCTGCTATTACTACTAATAATTCGACAACGACCATTACTATACTACTAACACTATTAATACTTCTTCTACTACAATGTGCCTTTACACATATCTTTAATATCCATGCTATGGGCTTTTTTTCTTTTCTTTTTCTTCAGCTTGAAGAGGCGGGCAAGAAGTCCAAGATCTCACATTTTAAAGATCCATCCATCTCTGACTCCAAGGTGATCCTTGACCTCATGGATGCCATCAAGCCTAACTGTGTGAACTTTGACCTCTACATTGACCCCAGAGAGGACCCCAGCACTTCAGAGGTGAGAATTAAGGAGAGGTGCCAAGCAGGCTGCAGTAATGCATGTGCTAGGGAGCGTTTCACAAAGACTAAGACCTTAACTTTAAGTTGGACTTACATGTAGCTATGGCAGGCCGTTCATGCCACCGTTTGCTCCCACCATTATGATCTTCAGATAATATTTTTTCCTTCAAAAAATAATGAATTATCCAAAGATGTGAGTTCTGTATACTTGTGACCATCATTTGTACTTCCATTGAGAGATCAATGCCAGTAAATGGTGAGAGTAAACAATGGCATGAACGGCCTGTCATAGTTAAGTCTAACTGAGATTCGATTATAGTCTTGGTGAAACACTCACCTGTCCTGATACATTTATTGACAAAGCTCACACCCGGTAGGATGCGAAAGCTACTGTGCTTAGATTAGCTAGTGTGCGCTTGTAAAAATGACGCCTGGCTGGAATGCTCCCCAGGGAGTGGAGAATGTGCATATATTGTGTGCGGGTAAGCCTGAATCCGATGACCGGGGTAGTAATATATATATCTGTAAAGCACTTTGATAGGGCCTTCCTGAAAAGCGCCATATAAGAAATAGTTATTAATGTGTGTGCCGACTGTATGGAAGGCCATGCAGCAGCACTGAAGGGTTAAAGAGAAGGTTGAGTTCTGGGAAGAGGTGAAAAATAATTTGTGAGCATTACTCATTCTTATTATGCAAGTGTGGAAGAACATCAGATAAGACATGTTCCCTGAAAAGCATGGCTCTTAAAATGCCTTCATATTCTAAATATGCATGTAACATCGTAAAAATCGGGGGGCCGGCTTTTTACGCCACGTGTTAGTGTAGTCCCATATACATCTTTCGGTGTACAGTGTTTGTAACTTTACCAAGACTTGGCCAAATTTCTTATCATTTTGATGATTCCAGAACCTTGCAATACACACAAATTCTTATATGCTAGATGATCAACCATTTCGGGTCGGTTCCACACCGTTTCTTTCACAATGCAATCGCATGACCAGAACTCAACTTCATCTTTAAAGGAAGTGGGTTGTCAGTTTCCATGTGCAGAAGGTCATAATATTCTGACACCAGGCTTTGTGAAAATACCATTAATGGATGCACAAGTCTGTGGACTGCAAATCCTTTGGCCAATCAAGAAATACCACATCGCCCCTTGGAGAGACCTTGTGTGATTCAAATTTTAGATGATTACTTTAACATATGGGGAAAAACAGATGATTATATAAAGCCTGTTGGTGATAAAACTCAAGGCTAATCCTGTCTTATGTGTTTTTAAATCGTGTCATCAATGTTAAAGGTATTTAAATACAAAGTTTTGGTATGGGGTCATGAATTTGGTTCAAATAAACATATTGGAAGCATATGCGATCCTACAATATTCAGTGATCGTTGTCGCGGTTGGAATCGAGTCTAAAGTTATGAAATTGTAAATAATAAACTCTTTATGTTGTGTAGCTCCCTCTCAAGGACAAGATATTAATTAAGCTATAAAACAATATTTGTTGACTAAAATCGATCGTTTATCTATTCCTGTTTGAAAATCATATATCATAACTACATATTCTGAGATTTTCATGGTCGCAGCTACCATTGTACGGCCGTATGTGCTATTTGAAATTTATCCAAATTTACCAGGAGCACCGGTAAATTTTTATATTCAATTTTTCTCAAAAGCAGAAGTGTTTTAGGGGTTGAATTATCTAGTGCTTATAATACATCCACAGGGGCATCCAATTGTATCAAAATTGTAAAGAATCACTAACCACCCAATTTTCAAAATTTCCCAAAATTTTGTATTATCTTTAACAATGGACTGCTAATGAATAAAGAGTTACACATAGTTCATGTCCTTTTACTCGGTCCCATCCGCTTGTTTTTACATATTTTATGTTGTTTTGCTTTAATATCCCCATGTAATCAGTTTCATGTATTTTCTGTTGTTTTACCTACTCCCATCTACTCATTTTCATGTTTGTTTTTGTCAACACAGGAAACGAAGCTGAAGAATGCTCAGTACGCCATCACCATCGCTCGCAAGAGTGGCGCCATGGTCTATGCCCTCCCAGAGGACATCGTCGAGGTCAACCCCAAGATGGTCATGACCATCTTCGCCTGCATCATGGCGCTTGACCAGGTCTTATTAGCTCAGAACTCTTGAAAGGTCACGACCCTGATCCTAACCCCGACCGAAACCCCGACCTTGCACATATCTCGCGCCAATATAAAATGTCATTTTTCATTGTATAGTAGTAAGCTGATGATGTGAATGACAGTATGATTTTTTGTAAATTTCATTTTTTGTGAGTATATTTCTGGATGATTTTCATAAAGAAGTATTTAGGTCTGTACTTTGTGTAAACATTGCTTTTGGTGATTTTTGATGTTGTTAGCAATGTAAAATATACCGTGTTGTCTTAATTTTTGATTATTTGTAGGCGAAAAGAAAAAGATATCCTGTTTTTCGACCCATGTCATATATTGTTTCCAATTTTTTGAAGATATATTTTGTTTAATGACTACTGCAACTACATATACATGTATAAGTATAGTCTTTGGAGATTTATGTTGATTTACAGATGGATAATCTCTTTCGATATCATACCGTGGTTGTATTTTTTTCTCGTTTTATTTCATTGATCATGAAAAAAAGAACGAGTACCTAACGAAAGAAATGTCCATTGTGGCTCACCGTCCAGTATACTGAAGGTTCTAACTTGTGCCTTAACGCAAGAGAGGTAGATATAGTCCATTGGATAAATCACTGGACTGTGGATCACAAGGTACAGGGTTCAAGTCCTGCCACGGCACTAATGTCCTTTGGCCAGGCATTGATCTGCATTTGCCACTCTCCACCCAGGTGTTAAATGGGTACCCAGTAGGATAAGAACATAAATGTGGTTTGATTGGCATGTGTGCGCTTGTAAAATGGCACCTATTGGGAATACACCCCAGGGAGCAGAGCAATTATAATATATAATAATTACAATGTAAATCGCTTTATATTGAGAGCTATACGAATGTGACTACGGTATTATTATTCACTATATTTAAGATCCTTGTGCTGACGTTCATATGAGGCTATGTTTAAAGAGACTGACAGCGAGACCAATGAATTATCGACTTTAAATATATATCGATTCGTAGTGAAGTATGAGTTATGATAAATGCCCTTTTTAACACTTAACCAGCTTTGATCCAATCATGGAAAGAACAGTTGTCTGCCACATTAGACGTTTGCCACACACACGCAGTGTAATAGATATCATATCCTCTAAACATTGTGGCAGTCACTTGGCTTCTTCCAATAGCGAAAAAATAGTTAAGAGGAAAAATAGAACATAGAACCTATGCAGAATTCAATGATATTTGTATATTCCTTGCTTTTGAGGGTAGAAAATGAGCGGTTCATATAAAATGCAAGTATGTTAGCATTGTAATTTTAGATTAATACTTGATTTACATTTTTTAATTTGGATTAGATCAATCATTGGTGCCGGTTAATGCTATTATTGCACTACACAATCTCAGCTCTCATTTATATTTGAACTAAACATAGGAATACATAATTCATCAGTATATTTTACAAATCAATTGGTACATGTTTATATACTAAAGTAAGAAGTGTTCATGAACCTTTGTAGGAAAAAAAAATAGATTCACAAAATACGGTTCTTGTAATATGCTTCAATTTTCACCTGTCTGTAAGAGTTCAAACATGTTATAATCTAGCAACAAATAGCATAGGAACAAAAACAAAGTGGAAACAAAAGCCTCAACAAATCATAAGGTATGAACAAACAGGGCTTAAAATAGAACAATATTTATCAAATCCCATAAACTAGTCGGTTTTAATCGAAAGACTTGTGAATCAAGATTTATTTCCATTCAATTTTTAAAAAATCTTTGAATGTGTCGTTTATTCACCAAAATACTATGTACCGGTACCTTTTTTTTTAAGGCCAGTATTAATACATAACATGCAAATGAAACGATCATCCAAAGAAATATAAGTGTATACATGTATATCATCAGGATTTTTTTATAGAAACAAATCAAACAAGCAAGGCATCCCGTGCCATGTCCGTTCTTCCATAAATCGCAAGTACCCGTATGAAGATATATGAGTGGATTTCCATGATGTATTGAGTAAAGAGATGTGCATATATGAACATGTATAGCTAAACCCAAATCTTTCATATGAAGGTGTTCCGGGCCACGTTGCATAAAACTTACCATTGATGGTAATATTGCCATCAATTGAAGTAACCATGGTAACGGCTCAACAGCCAATCAAAATCAAGGTTTCCATTGTAGTTACCATTGATGGCAAAGTTACCATCAATGGTAAGTTTTGTGCAACGGGTCCAGGTGTTGTAATCAAACATTCCTTTGTATTAGAAGCCTTTTCTGTGATCCATCACGAAATGACTTATGATGTCTTATCTTAATGCTCAAAAAGTGTTATTAAATATTATCTCACGTTGTACACACAACTATCCCATTCTCCATGTGCATATGATGTGTATATGCTCGGCTTAACCCAAATCTTTCATATGAAGGTGTTCTTGTGTAAGTTGTAATCAAACATTCCTTTATATCAAAAACCGTTTTCTGTGTTTCGTCCCAAAAGTGACTTATGATGTCTTATCTAAATGCTAAAAAAGTGTGTTTAAATAAATTCTCACACTGTACACACAACTATCCAATTCTCCATCGTTTAAATACTTATTAAAAAAATAGTATACTTTTCGCTTCTTTCTTCTTTTAGTTGTAAATCTGTATTATCATTTCAAATGATTGTGTTGTATATTTCTTTCTATTTTTTGTTCTTTCGTGCCTGCAGGGTTGTAGCGATAAGGTAACATGTACAAATCTGTTTTTAGAATCTTAGATACCGTGTTTGATTGCATTTGCTCACATTATGACCACAATTTATATATATGAATATGTATTATACATTTGATGTGTCTCTTTAACAATTTGCATGTACAAGTTGTTTTTTCTTAGATGAAGAAAGGGTGACGTATAGTGCCATGTTATACATTTATTACCTCTTACCAGGTGTTGCTTAACAGAATAATATGAATATTTAGTGCATGATAATTTTATAAGATACAATTGCACATGGTAATTTGTGACAAATTGGTGTAGTACTACACCTCAGTTTTCACTGAATGAACATTGTGCCGAGCCTATTTCATTGAACGAAAAATGTTCCATTTATGATCATGATTTAACTCTAGCATTTAATGTTATTTGTGAGGTTTAAATTTCCTCTGATAATGCATCATCATTCCAGTTTTCTATTCCAAAATACTTTCATACCAGATTTTTTTTAAAATGTTACCTTGATTTTCCAATCTTAATTCTTACCTATGCCATGTTTCCCATAGTTTGGCATCATTATCATCATTTCCTTCACCTTTTAAACAAAAAAATTCTTCTTTTTTTTCCCTTTTTTTCTTTTGAATCAAGATATGATTGTGCTTTTGATTACGACCAAAGGGATATGATAAGAAAGAGAGAAAAAAAGATAAAAGTCTTTACTAACAAGGGAATCTTATATAAATCATAGAGCCATTCCAAAGAATGTTATCATTTGTCACGTCCAGAGGCTCAAAGTGATATTATGAGACAATGTAGTCTTTGCTAACTAGAAATTTTACGTACAAGTTCACATAAAGCCATTCCAAAAAATGTATTGTGTCAATATTAAAAAATATTTGTGGTTCTGTAACGTATGAGTTCAGTGGGCATTTCAGCTTAGACAACATTTATCATGTGTAGTTGATCTGATTTGTACATGAGTTCGGATGATTTCTTGATTCAATTTTTTTTTAAATATTACACAGATTTGCGTCCAGATATTGCCTCTCGAACCAGAGCTTTCAAACCAAGAATAAACGTTCATAATACTGTCTTTCTACTTTCATAGGCCTATATTAACCTGTTGACAACTGAATCGTTGAATTCCTATAGGCTTTATATAGGAGCCACCCGGATCCAGGAGTCAATAGGTCAATAATTGTTTGTCTTGTTTCTTCACCTAAACGCTGCACCTTATTTGTGAATCAGTAATGCATCTGTTTTTTTTACCTACATGAATAGTGTTCCCATTTTTCCTGCACTTAAGCACTGCATTTAAACAGGTATTAGTAATATACACTCACTGTTATCTTTTCAAATAATACTGTTTATACAGAGTCCATTCCTGTGCCTATTTTAACGATTATGTGGTGTATATAACCAGTGTTTGTCCTGTGCTATTATGGATTTCATATTATGTAGCTTCACTTTTGGAAAATTCCATATCATAGAAAGAAGTTGGTTTTGAATATTCATTTATTTATCTCTTTTTCTCCATGTATTTTTTTTGAGGATGGAATACAAAAGATAGTTTGCATACCTCTTTTTTTAGTACCAAACAAAAATTGAATTAAATTAGTTGTGGAAATGAATGAACATCTCATATTTGTCGCTGTGTTTGAAGTGGGATTGGTTAAAAAAGAGCATTATGTTTCACGCATATTTGCATGCATTATACGAAGAGCACGTTGTTGGTTTTGTAGAAAGACACTATAGATTATCACCTAAGATCATGTATTTCATATGTAGTCATGAATATTCAATATAGTCATGAATATGCATCTCTGTGTTTGGTAGTGTTAATATTCATCAAAAGGTAACTTTTGCACGAAGAAATATGTAATTGAAAATCATGATTAACGTAAAATTATATTATATAGCTTTAAGTATGTGTGTTTTGTAGGTTGACAATTCACCAAAAATTGTGTTATCTTGGTATTAAAAGGCATTCCAAATGTTGCAAAATATATGGGAATGGAAGGGACAGAATGATTTAATACAATGTGAGGTAAATGGCTTATTTTTGGTAATACTTAGTTTCACAAATAAATATTGGTTTCAAAGGAACAACTCTTGTCTGCGTCTTGTGTACCGTCTTAGTCTCAAAGGAAAAGAAAGATGATCGAGAGCTAGGAAGAGAAAAAACGGGAGCAACAAGAGAATGTTAAAGGTAAAGACCAGTTATGGTCATGCGATTGCATTGTGAAAGAAACGTTGTGGAATCGATCAGAAAAGGTTGATCATCTAGCATCTAGCATCTGCAAGGTTCTGGAATCATCAAAATGATAAGAAATTTGGCCCATTCTTCGTAAAGTTACAAGCACTATACACAGAAAGATGTATATGGGACTACCCTATATCTCTCACAGACCATGAGAGAAACAAATTTACCAAATATATGAATAAGTAGGCGGTTTCCCGGCAAATTTGTTATCATCATGTATTAGTCAAAACATATTCTTTCACATGATTGGTAATGTGAGCTTCCATTTCATTTTTTGAAATTGGGGCGTTTCCAATACTGGTCTTACCTTTAAGGGAAGAGAAGGTTAGAAAAGTAGAGGATGGAGGGGAAAAAGGAGGAGGGCATATTGACCCCATGCAAAATATGTTCAAGCACATTTCGTTTTCATACGATCGAACAACAACAAATTGAGGTTTAATTAAAAAGCTCACCTCAAAACAATCTAGATTTAGTGAAAACAAAAGTCTTTGTGACAGTACCGGTAATTAACATTTCCATAAATCATTTAATACAGAAATTTAAAATGAACTCAAAGATATTTAGACCAGTGTGTGTGTGTGGGGGGGGGGGGGGTGGGGGTTTAACCCCCAAAACATCCCACCCCCTGCGTGTGTGCATGTGTGTGTGTGTGTTTAATGTATGGATGGGCGATTAGCCATAGACGGATGTTGGCGGGTTAATAAAGACAACTATGAAACGAAATCAAAAAACAAAAATGCGATATTGGAATCGGTGATATTATAGGCATAGTATTCTTATCAGCTTGCGCTTTAAAATGTCAAAAATCTATCAGTGTATCTTTTCTATTTTCATTAAAACTTTAACCAAAGAAAGCGTTGATACTCGTGTTTTCAAGATCGAATTAAGTTAGACCTAACGAGAGATTGAAGATTTAAATAGTCTTCTGCCATGAAAATTAAGAAGAAGAAAAAATCATTGCAAGTGATTTTTTTTGTTTTAAACCGTGCATGAAGAGCTTGTTTACATATTGTGAAAGGTAATTTTTGTTTTCCTCTGAAACTTTCTGCGTCACGTTTGCTGTCATTAAAGGTAATACAAAGTTTTGGGAAATTTTGAAAATTGGCTGGATGAAGAATATTTACAATTTTGACATATTTGGATGCCCCTGTGGATGTATTATAAGCACTACAGAAATTAGCCCCTAAAACACTTCTGCTTCCGAGAAAAATTGAATGTCAAAATTTACCGGTGCTCCCGGTAAATTTCGATAATTTTCAAATAGCGCCTGGCCTACGACCATGAACATCTCAGAATATGTAATTGGGATATATCATTTTCCAACGGGAATAGCCAATCGGTCAATTTTAGTCAAGAAATATTGTTTTATAGCTAAATTAATATCTTGACCTTGAGAGGGAGCTATATACAACGAAAACAGTTTATTATTTACAATTTCACCACTTAAGACTCGATTTCAACCGCGACAACGATCACTCAATATTGTAGGATCGCATATGCTTTCAATATGTTCATTTGAACCAAATAATGACCCCAAACCAAAACGTTGTAACACCTTTAAAGGAAAATGAACCCCCCCCCCCCAAAAAAAAAAAAAAAAAAAAAAAAATCATCTGAGAGTCGAAGGAATCTCGTAAGCCGGTTGAAAGTATTTTGAATTTACTCCTATTGGATTTCTTGGCAAGGAAAACAGTCTCTTAAAAGTTTCCTTGTTAACCCTTCTTCCATGCTAGTCGCAAGTTCGTTCAAAATTGTGGTGACAGAGCAGTACACCTTTGAGGTACCCACTGACCAGGGCCCCGTTGCTTACAACTTACCATTTGTAACTACGGGGGTAACTACCATCAGGCGCGTACGCAGGGGGGGGGGGGGGTGTTTGAGGGGTTAAACCCCCCCCCCCTTTGGTATTTTTATGTGTGTAAACCCCCCTAAAAAATCCCTAAACCCCCCCCCCCCGCCCCCCTTTGTTTGTTTTGTTTTTGTTTTTTTTAATTATTTAAAAAAAAATAAAAAAAAATCACCCCCATGGCTGACCTAAGAAAGGTGACCTTACCCCCCCCCCCCCAACGGAGCAAAATGTCAATTTTTCAAATTTTGAGACAAAAAAAAAAAAAAAAAGTGTCCTCTTACCTCTTCCAATGTTTCCACTGACAAAAGCTCAACAGGGGTGGGACGAGCATCTACGTCTTGTCATGGCAACAGGCGCGGATCCAGGATTTCTTAGGGGAGGAGGCCCAACTTTTTTTTTTTTTGCTCCCGAAAATTTGAAAATCGCGCCGGCCGAAAAGTCGCTCAGTGGGGGGGGGGGGGGGGGGGGTAGTGAGCACATTTTTTTTTTTTTGATCCTCAAAAAAAAATTCAATTTGCACCCCCCCCCCCCCCCCTTGAGCGCCAGGGGGGGGGGGGGCCCAACCCCCAAAAAAGGTAAAAATCACGTGATTTTACATGATTTTTTTCTCAAGGGGGGGGGGCCGGAAACTCTGTCTCTGATACTGGCATACTACATCATAATCTTCAGGATCAATCTCATGAACTGAATAAGAGTAACATTAAACAGTTGGAAGGTGGTTCAGTACCTCCGTTTAGAAACAGGGGCTTAAAATGTGCCCATTTGAATATTCATAGCTTAGTTGCTAAGATTGACGAACTTAGATTACTTCTGAGAAATGCATCATTTGATGTTATTGGTTTAAATGAAACATTTTGCGACTCCATGATTGATGATTCTGAATTGTATATAGATGATTATATTTTATTACGTAGAGACCGTACGAGACATGGTGGTGGTGTGGCTGTATATATATCCAAGAGGTTCAATTATAAAAGAAGGGATGATTTGATTTCATCTACTTTAGAATGCCTTTGGTTTGAATTGCATTATCCAAATAAGTCTCCCATCCTGGTTGGAGAGTTTTACAGACCTCCAAATTCTCACGTTGATTTCTTTGAAGAATTAGACGAAAATTTGGACTCTGCTCTCTCGGAAGATATGAGCTGTATTATTTTAGGTGATTTCAATTGTGATTGTATGCCACACCAACTTGATCTGAATGCTGAAAAGTTAATGTTTTATACAAATATGTACGGGCTGAGTCAGCTAATTGATACTGCCACAAGAGTTACAAATACCTCTTCTACTTTAATTGATTTGATATTTGTATCAGACAAGGAACTTTACAATGAATGGGGAATATTTGAAACTAGCATAAGTGATCATTATTTGGTGTATACGGTTCGCGATTTTAGTGCAAAGATCCATAACAAATATGAATACGCAGAATTTCGCTCGTTTAAAAATCTTGACGAGGAGAAATTTTACAATGAATTGAGAAGTACTCCTTGGCAGGTCATAAAAGATATAGATAATGTCGATGTTGCGTGGGATATGTGGTTGACTCTATTCAATAATATAATCAACAAGCACATACCAGCATGTAAAAAGCGGATAAGAAAAAAGGCATGTCCATGGATATCTGACGAGATTGTTAAGCTTATGACGGAACGTGATAAAGTTCTCAAAGCTGCTAAAGCTAACAAAAGTGATGATCTTTGGGACACCTACAAATATCTAAAGAATACAGTTATTCATCTCATGAGGAAAAGAAAAAGAGAATATAATGCAGACCAGATCTCGCAAAATCATAACAATAGTAAGCAAATGTGGAGATGTTTGAGAAACCTGGTGCCTAAGTCATTACCTATATCTCCCAATAGCATAAATGTTGATGGTGCTAATGTGTCAGACAATGCAAATATTGCTGAAGCTTTTAATGACTTTTTCATTTCTAATGCTACTAAGATTACAAAGGACCTGCGAAGGAATAAGTCTCAACTGAGAGTAGACGAGGACAATAATATTGGTCCAACTCATTCGCAATTTAATTTGAATTTGATTACTGAGGATTTTGTATTGAAACAGATTGATAATCTGAGTATAGATAAAGCAACTGGTGAAGATCACATCAGCTGTAAACTTTTAAAGATGACGAAGAATGTTATCGCAGAGTCTCTTTGTGATATCATTAACAAATCCCTGTCTACAGGAGTTGTTCCACGTGAATGGAAAAAGGCTCGGGTTGTACCAATATTCAAATCTGGAGATAATTCTTCTTTGAATAATTACCGCCCCATTTCAATATTACCTATCGTGAGTAAAATTATAGAAAGGGCCGTCCACCAACAACTCAGTGAATTCTTGGACGTGAATCAATTATTACACCCTAATCAGTCTGGCTTTAGACCTAAACATTCAACAGCTACTGCCCTTGCAAAACTTGTAAATCAATGGTCGTTGAATATTGATAACAAAAAAATGTCTGGAGTTGCCTTCATAGATCTTCGTAAGGCTTTTGATACTGTTGACCATGAGCTACTTCTACATAAACTAGCTTGTATAGGTTGTAGTAATAGGACTATTTATTGGTTCAAATCATATTTAGGGGATCGACAACAAGTGACCCAATTCAAAGCAGCCAAGTCGCATCCATCACCCATCAAATTAGGTGTGCCACAAGGTTCAATTCTTGGTCCCCTTTTATTTTCAATATATGTTAATAGTCTACCTGAATGTACTCCTGAAGGTATCATAGATATGTATGCTGACGATACGACACTTACCGTCAGTGCAAATGATGCAACTGTTGTGGAAGAAAAATTAACTGTTGCGTTAAACAGAGTCATGGCATGGATTAAGGAAAATCGTCTTGTTCTTAACACTGAAAAAACTTGTGTCATGTTAATAGGCTCTCCTGCTAATCTCAAGAAAATTGAATCTTTTACCATTTCATTAAACGGCAATTTGATCAAAAGAGTTCAATTCACCAAATGCTTAGGACTTTTGATAGATGAAGAATTGAAATGGTCTAAACAAATCGAAAACGTAAGTAAACTTACCCAGAAAAACATTAGCATGATAAAGAGAGCAAAAAGTTTTTTGCCTCAAAAATCCTTAAAGTTACTTTATAACAGTCTAGTGTTGCCACGATTAGATTACTGCTCTGTTGTATGGTCGAACCGATTTCATTCTCATACAACTAAGCTGCAAAAAATTCAAAAGAGGGCCGCAAGAATAATATTGAACAAGACATATGACACACCGTCGGCTGATTTGTTCACAAGTCTTAAATGGATGACACTAGACAAGCGGTTTGAGTTAAGTCGAGTTATGATGATATATAAATGCGTTCATAACTTAGCACCTTCTTACCTTCAGGTAGGCTTAATCAATCCTAATGATGTACATGAGCATCATACAAGGCAAATATACAGTGGATGTTTACGTGTGCCTAGATTTCACACTGATTGTTATAAGTGTAGCCCAATTGTTTCTTCCATATTTGAATGGAATAAGCTAGATAATTCATTGAGAACGGCTTCCTCTGTCAATTCATTTAAGAGATTGTTTAAACAAAGTTGTAATTTGTGAATGGCTCAGCCGTACATACACTACGTGCATGTTCTGTAATATTTACATGACTTATTCACATAATTGCGACTTAATTAATATTTTCCTATTGACATTACTGTTTACTAGGTTAATGATTATATTTATTTTGCAAACTAGTATTATTTTTGTAACTGTTCTGTATAAATGTTATAAACGATGTAAATATGTTCATTCAGGGCCCCATGGAAGACCACTACTTGTTGGTGAATGGGCTACCCTGTCAAAATATTAGAAATAAATAAATAAATAAATGGTAACAGGGCTCAACGGCCAATAAAAATCGAGGTCTCCTGGGTAGTTACCATTGGTGGCAAATGTGTTGTTGTTGTTGGGTATAAGGCTGTCCAATCTGAAAACCTCACCATCATGGTAAGTTTTGTGCAACGGGGCCCTGTATGTTATTTGCAATTAGGGCAGTCAACTGTGAAGCTCAGCCATAACAACGATTCCCTAATATTAGACTATTTTGTTATGCATTCAAATCAATGGATATTTAATCCTGTTGCTGTGACCAGATGTTTGGTTCAGCTGTTTCAGACAGTTGAGCACTTTCTTTAATTTGTTAAGCACCAATTGGCATGCATACGTAATTGCAGACAGAACTCCGCTAATTATTCAAAAGAGGGACAAGAAATCACCTGTTCGAGATGCGGAGTAACAATAGTTGGGTGCTGTTTTGCTTCCATGGCTAGGCTTAGACAATCTTCAGTGAATATTCAACACCATGTCCATCACAATTGTGCAGGTCAATGTATATGAACTACTCCAAATATAAATTGATTTGTTTTGATGTGCAGGGCTGCATATAGGCCTACAAAATATATTTTGTTACTCTAACATCTAGATATATTTCATACACTTCTATATATTTTTTTAAAATAATTTTCTCAGACCTGATAAGCTCCACCCTTTAAAAAAGGCTCCAGATCTCATACATCTTGTGACATCATCTGCCAAACATATATTTGGATGTCACCCGACCTTTACTCAAACAGGGCGGCGTTTCACGAAACCGCCATAACTACAAGTTCACCTATACTTCCCATTGAATTGCGGGTATTAAATTTAACCCGTGATTCAATGGGATGTCGGTGAACTTGTACTTATGACGGTTTCGTGCAACCAGGAAGCTACATGGTGATACTATGAATATGACTGACAAAGAAAGCGGACAAAATATACAGTTCCTCAGGTAGACAAAGGAACATCCCTTCACTGCTTTCATTTAAAAACGTGTAGAACAGGTGTCACATGCATATTCACCTTTTTACATAATAGCAGTGAAGGGAAGTTCCTTTGTCTACCTGAGGAACTGTTTATTTTGTCCGCTTTCTTTGTCTGTCATAGTCATAGTGTGACTCCCAAGGAGGAAACTTTGGAGAGAGTATTTTCTTTGCTATGTAATTAAATTGGAGTAATTTTAATACTTTTTAAACTGGCTGTCGATACTGAATAAGATAAGGATTGTTGGATTTCTTTTCTTTTAAGAACTTGGATTAAGTGTTTCACGTTAATACAAAAGTTCTATTTCATCGGTTTTCCAACTTCCCCTACTAATTGAAAAGTATGGTTCAACTTCCGTATGTTTCAGTATGGTGCCCAATATAATTATTATAATGCCAAGATTTAGAAAAGTAACACAAAACAAATCAATATAAAGCGTATGTTATTGCTCTATTTTCAATGATACGAAAGTATGCCGCTATAACTTATAAGTTGCCTTTAAATACTTAAAAAGACAAAATAATTGTATGGACTTAAACAAAGTGTCGGAGCTTAACAGTGTTTGGATGACAAGTCATTAATGATGACTGGCATTACGATTTTGAAAGGATGTTTGAATTATAGAAATTAACATCAGTTACAAATTCATCACAATGGTTTAATCGAACGTGAATGCGGTACACATAATGGTTTTCAATTAATAGAAACTGCCCTTGGGTATATTTCTCGAAAAGCTTTGTGATTATATATATTCATTTTTAACTGATGTTAATTTCCATGTGGAAAGTGACTTTCGCAGTGTTCAGGCGCATAGACCTTTCTATTGGGTTCATGAAAGCCCTCGTTCCTGCAACCACGGTAACGCCGTACAAGTTCACCAAAGGTTTCAGACAATACAACATCACTGCTATTCTTTCTATAGGAGGTTACGATGAATTGCATGCCTGACATAGCACGAACCGTGACGTGTTTTGTTGTACTGAATGATATAAAGGCAATCAACAGATTTAGATCAAGCTATAAGAATTGCCACTCATCTACGCATGATGAGTGGCAATTCTAATAGCTTGATCATTGTGCAATTCATCGCAACCTCCTATAGAAAGAATAGCAGTGATGTTGCATTGTGTGAATCCTTTGGTGAACTTGTACACAGCGTGACCATGATTGCAAGAGCGATTGGCTTACATGAACCCAATAGAAACTTAGGGCTATGCGCCTACACACTACGGAGGGCACTATCCAAAAAAGGTTGCAATTTGTAGTTCAATTCACGGCCCTAGACGAGCAAAAACTTGATGACACTTCCATATCTTCTAGCGCCTGCACGACGTGTGCTCTATAACGATGGATCTTCAGGGCAAATGTTTGGTAAGTTATCATTTCGTATTCATACAATGTTTTAGAAAGATGTGTTTCTTTGGACTATTTAGTGCCTTTAGAAAACGTTCTCATTGCAGATGTATTTATTGATGTACCTAAAAGCTATATCTCGTAACAAATTAAGGTTTTCAATGATTATAAAGTAAAAGAGGGCTGGTTTGATTTTGGATATATTTTATGTGATTCCTGAAAGTTTTTTTTATCTTCAAAGAGCATATTTTAAACATGTTTTCAAACGTTTGCGTAGCAATTAATGGACTCTTATATTCATATGTTGTATATTGCTATGCCGAGCAAAATTCGTGGCTAATGTCTTACCTCATAACACATAACGTACTTGCTTTGCGCTTTACCTAATGAAATACATGTAACTCGCATGGAGGTACTTTAATAGCACAAATTCTTTATTGCAAGACGAAAATGCCCTAATAAAATGTTCACATTTATAATATCGTAAAGCACGACCATGTAAAATGTGTGATAATAATTGATGCAGAAAAGACTAGTTTACTAAAACATTCAAATTGCGTGCATACTTTTTGAACAACATGTTGTTCTTGACAGCCGGAAAGCTTCACCGAGGCTTTACAAACATGGCAACAAGTAATATATGCAGAATTGATTCCAAGTATTGCAGTTCATTCATTAATAACGGATTAATGAAATAGCTCGCCAATAAGTCCCAAGGAAATAGGCTTACTTCTAATCATCGGGTCGTCGCATCAGGTCGGCTGGTCGCGTTACCCGATTTGAGAAAACATGCCCCTTTATTCACAAAATGTCGGGGGGGGGGGGGTAATGTTTGTGAATAAAACCCCTCTCATCTACAAAATGGTCTGGTCAAATTTACCCGATACTTTGTGAAAACCATAAAGTAAATTTACCTAGCAAGTACGTTTTAAGTTTTGTATTTGACTCTTGCATTTTTATGATGGTATTGTTTAATACAGATGAAAATCAAACTTGTTCTTAATTATCCATGAATGTCATCCTTCTTTGACTGGGATATTAGACAACGTGGAATAAATGAGACAAACCTTTTGCAGATTTCTCTTTCTTCGGGGGGGGGGGGGGGAATAAGCCAAAGCCAACAGTTCCCCTCGTATTGAATCACCCTACAGCACTTGTTGTTTTGTTGTTTTATGCCCGCTAATTAATTGACAGTTAATTGACTTTTAATTTATAGTAAGTATTGGTCATTTTTATTTATCATAATTTGTTTTTATACTTTATTTCGACGAAATGCCTGCAGCTGATAACATTAACAACAATTTGAAAACATAATCAGTTGTTGCCCTGCATTTCCAGTAGTTTGAGCAATATACTTAAAACATCAATCCTTTTTCTTACTTTGAAGGTTACTAAGCTGGTGGTGGCTGTCGTAACGGGAATCCTGGTTCATGTAGGTCTACCTGTAACACAGGTATCACCTTGCGATATCAACATACCATTTGAAGACAGGTTCATCTGCAATGGGCTGACCATCTCGATCCATGATATATTGTGCCATGCAGATTTACCAGTTCCTGGTATCAGAAGGCCTACTGCTGCAGGAACCAGAGACATTGAGAACGGGACCATGGAATATGAATCTCTGACAGAAACGAATGTTTCCACGGATGGACACTACTGCGTATATGAACACCAACAAGAAGGTACTGTATTACTACGAGGGATGCCTACTGAATATGTCCAGGATAACACCAGTCAAGGTCAAAGCCATTTGGCTGCCGTTGACACTATGTTAAGCTACAGGGTAACCGATGAGGGCGCTTCAATAAAACAAGAGCCCCTGGTTTCAACGGATGAACAAAACGAAGTGCAGAAGGATACAGAGGTAGATACGAAGAAGAGACAGAGATGTATAAAGAGAGTCCACATTTTTTCGAGCATGACACACATGATCCCATTCCCAGAAATGAACCACTTTAGAGGGCTTTTACAGACTAGCTCCAAAGAAAATTATGAGTCCGACATTGACTGCATCTCCCAAGGACACACCTGTGATATTGTACTAACTCTTGGGGATGAGTTACGATCGATGAAAGGGAAAGATGCTGTAATATTTGGGATGGTCCCTACGATATGGAAAGGACATAAACTACGTGATATGATTGCGAATATAGACCCTGACCCAGAACAGACATGGATCTATTACAGTACCGAGTCTCCTTTAAGAGCCAGTCGATGGGCAGAACCGTTTGACATCGCTCGCATGAAGTACCACGTTTTAATGACCTACGACAAGGAAGCTGACATTCATATTCCATTCGGTTACTACAGACGGTTTGACAAACCCAGTGCTACCCCGAAAGACACAGCGTTCATGTCCGACGAGTTCTTCCAGAACAGAACTGGCCTTCTGTCCTGGGTAGCGACGAACTGCGACGAAGTGTTCTGGCCAAGGATGCCCTTCATCAAGAGGATCATCGAAGAAATGCCCCTGGATGATTACGGTGCCTGTGGACGCAAGAAATGTCTGCCGAAGAGATCGGAGCAATGCAATAAGCTCTTTGCGAGTTACAAGTTCTTTCTGGCTCTACCGAACTCCGAATGCAGAGACTACATCACCGAGAAGTTCTGGATGATATCGCTGAAATACGGCGCCGTGCCGCTGGTTCTCGGAGCGCCAAAGGAAGATTACGAGCGAGTGGCGCCTCCTGGATCCTTTGTCCATTTCGCTGATTTTGAGAGCCTCAAGGAACTTGCAGATTACCTTCACCGCGTTGATCAGGACGAAGCCTTATACAGGAAGCTCCATGAATGGCGACACCATGGCGAGGTAGTCAGTACGTATCCCTTGCGTCCAGGAGCAATGTGCAGGACTTTACCCCATATTTATCGGAGGAAAGAAGGCGATTTCAAGTTTCTTGGTGATTCTGTTTGGTACAAGGGTTGCAGGAACCCCTTGAACAACATCACTTTAAATCAAGGACACATCGAGCTCGAAAGTTGGGCGCCATGGAAATGATCAGTAATGATAATAATTAGTTTTAAGATATTTTCCGTTTTCTAGACTTAAATTAACTTGAGCTAATTTTGCATGTTTTCATGCTTTCTTCATGCTTTCTTTTAATTGAGTTTATATAGTTGTATTATTTTTATTATTTTACTTGAGTTTTTATGAAACTTTTCCTCTCTAAACGTGGGTTTATAGAGATTTTGTTATTTAACCCCTCAGTATAATCATGTACTTATACTTTGCAAATTTATTACATTTCCCTTTAAAAAAACATTATTTAAACAAAAGCCAAATTTACATTGGGGCTGCGCATGAAATCGATTTTCTTGTTGATATTGTTTTTCTAATTACATTCACTACTCAATAACAAGAGGTTTGTTGTTTAAATTTCCCAATGTAACAATCTGCGCATTATCAAACATTCTGATTTATATCTCTTTAGAGCCAAAAGGGCGTCAGCTCGTACAATTTAAAAAGTACACTTAAACATCTTTCCGACTCTCAACGGGTTATTGCCAATCTAAAACATTGAACCACATCGAGCGTTGAGGGCCCCATTTCACACCAAAAAAAAACCTGGCATCAGTGGAAAATGACAGTTTTGTTATAAGCAACTGAACTGGTTATCAGCAGATTTAAATCTGATTTTTGTCGTTTGTCATTGACAAAAGGCTTTGTGAAACGGGTCCCTGGTGTGCAGTGGCGTAGCATGGGTCAACACATTCAGGGACACCACCATCTTGGGGGGGGGGGGGGGTGAATGCCAGAGAATGAAGCCATAGAACGTCTCAAGTGATGGGATGTGGTTTCATCACATTCTTTTTGTCCTACTCCTTTATTTTTGATTGTTTTGTTTGAATTGATAATTTATGTTATATGTTTTTATTCTTTGCCTTTTGACAATCCTTGTTCAGCCCTTGAATTGTTTAATTCTTCTTATTAATTAACATGGATGAAATTGTTCAGAATTTGCATTTTTTTCCTTCTTTTTAACATGATTAGCAAGCAACGAGAATAATGATGATGTTAATAAGAAGTATGGATAAATCATTAGATTAAATTAATGATGTGTAATAATCGTTCTTGGGGGAGCGGGACATGGAAAATAAGAAAACAAAAGCATAGAGCAAGAAGAGTGGATACGCGTGATATGAGTTTTATCAATTTTATTTTGACCATCTAACTGGGTATGTTTGAATATTTGTTTATTATAATTCTTATTCTTTTTGTTCTCTATTTTGAAAAATCCTAGTTCAGCCCTTGAAATTTATAGTTATTCGTATTCAAATGTGTGCATATTTTGCAGATTTATTTTCTTCTAAAATCAATATTACTTTTCAGGAAGCAACGAGAATGATAATAATAATATTAAACATGAATAAATGCATGCTAACGATGTTTTATAATAAAATGAAGCCGAAAGATTATTCAAAGTTGTTGTCTTCATTTATAAAGATTTGGCAAACTGTAACAATTAACCAGCCGAGGGATAGGTAAAGAGATTAAACATAAGAGAGAGGGAATATTTCATAGTTGGATATACAGTGAAACCTGGAACGATAGAGGGACGGGAGGGAGAGCGAAAGACTCAGAGCGGGAGGGGATCAGAGAGAGAGAGAGAGAGAGAGAGAGAGAGAGAGTGAGGATTTTGACCAAAAAGGGCACATTGAAAATAAAGAGGTGAATAAATTCAGGCAGAGAGTGCGGAGGGGAGGGATAGAAAGGTATGAAGAGAAACATGGGGAAATAACAATTGAAAAAGTGAGATAGATTGAGGAAGCCAAATGAAAGGGGGGGTAGGTGTAGATTGTAAAGGGAGTTCAAGTGATTTTAGTAAGAGCTTGAGAAACACAGACACAGAAATAAGTCTAGGAAGAGAGGTTTCTCAGACAAAACGTATGAAGAAAGTGGGGAAAAGACGAAAAAGAAGAAGATGTAAACGATGGAAGAGAGAGAGAGAGAGAGAGAGAGAGAGAGAGAGAGAGAGAGAGTAAATGGGGCTTCTACAAAATGGCAAAATAATATTATGAGAGATTAATGAATTTGAGAAGATACAAAAGCAGAATACTCAATTATTAAATCTCTCTATTAAATGTTACTGTTCTTTCTGTCAATACAGTTCTCCTTTCATACATTTGAATAGATGTCTCAATATTACCTATTATGTTGTTGTCTTTTCTGTTTAAAATAAATAATTTCTCTTTCTCTGTCTCGCTCTGTGCCAAACCATTTTTTTCTTTGTGTCCTCAATTTAGGCCTTCTCCTCTTTCTCTCTACTTCTCTTCTCTGCTTCACCTTCAAGTTGCTTCTTTAGATCTATTCTTGCGCATGTATGTGCATTCTCATCTCTCCTCTGTTATATTCTCCTTCTCTTTTTTCTCACTCACTCACATTTACTCTCTCTTTCTCTCACACTTTCTCTATTGAATTTTGTTTCTATTCAATTTATGATCTTCCTCTTTATTTCATATTGAACAAATACTCCCCATTCTCTCTCTCTCTCTCTCTCTCTCTCTCTCTCTCTCTCTCTCTCTCTCTCTCTCTCTATCTATACATATATAATATATCTCACCCACTAGCCCTTTCTCTCTCTCCCCCCCCCCCCTCTCTCTCACACTTTCTCTATTGAATTTTGTTTCTATTCAATTTATGATCTTCCTCTTTATTTCATATTGAACAAATACTCCCCATCCTCTCTCTCTCTCTCTCTCTCTATTTATACATATATAATATATCTCACCCACTAGCCCTTTCTCTCTCTCTCTCTCTCTCTCTCTCTTTCTATTTATACATATATATCTCACCCACTAGCACTTTCTCTCTCTCTCTCCCCTCCTCTCTCTCTCTCTATTTATACATATATAATATATCTCACCCACTAGCCCTCTCTCTCTCTCTCTGTCTCTCTCTCTCTCCCCCTCCTCTCTCTCTCCCTTTCTCTGTTGAATGCCAACTATTCAATATGACTATCCTCTTTATCTCTTATTTTACCAAAACGTTCACCTCTCTCTCTCTCTCTCTCTCTCTTTAATTAACACTCTCTCACCCTCTCTTTGATTTTACTTCTATTCCTTTTATGATCTTCCTCTTTATTTCCTATGAATTTTAAATGTCCCATAGGCTTAATACAGGGACCACCAGGTTCCAGTAAACAAAGGGTTAATAAATCGCATTCTCTCGAGCTAGAAAATTATCACATTTTATTCATTCTTTGGTATACATATACAACGTTTTCATTATCTCATCTGGGGGGTGTTTCACAAAGATCCTAAGTTGAACTTATCTCTAAGTTGGACTTAAAATTTATGGGAAGCCATTAGCATCCTTGAAAATAGTTTGTAATTTTTTTTTAGAAGGCATAAAATGTTGATTCAAATCATTCATATTTTCTATTATCATGGGAGATTTCATGTTCTTGATGTGGAATTGATGAAAAGTCTGAAATCCTCCAATTTTGCTTTTGAATATATTTCATTTTAAGGCTCCAATGGCTGTCCATACTTTTTAAGTCCAACTTGGAGATAAGTTCAACTTAGGATCTTTGTGAAACACCCCCCAGGAATAATAACTATATCTAAATTTCGTCAAGGCATAGGGTTGTATTGAGTTTGAAGTGATGTTTTGGTAGAGGGATAGTGTTACAAGCAGGTCTAGGGTGCATGTATAATGTATGAATTACACTAACTTAAACAATGCCACAAAATATTTTTTAAGAGATAAATTCAGACAAAAATACTGATTCAAGTAGAAAGAATATAGCATCTACTATCACACACATACACATCCTTTTATAATCACATGATTACGCATATCGTAGCCTGAATGAACCAGATTCTTACTAGAGAATTGTCCTGGAATGATTGGCCTCTTAAGATACACTTAAAGGCAAAGACCAGTATTGGAAACGCCCCAATTTCAAAAAATGAAATGGAAGCTCTCATTACCAATCATGTGAAAGAATATGTTTTGACTAATACATGATGATAAAAATTTGCCGGGACACCGCCTACTAATTGATATATTTGGTAAGTTAGTTTATCTATTGGTATTTGAGAGATAAACGCATGTGTCGCACACGTGTGCGTAGTCCCATATACATCTTTCTGTGTACAGTGCTTGTAACTTTACGAAGACTGGGTCAAATTTCTTATCATCTTGATGGTTCCAGAAACTTGCAGTACACACCAATACTTATATGCTAGATGATCAACCTTTTCTGATCGATTCCCAAATGTTTCTTTCACAATGCAATCGCATGACCATAACTGGTCTTTATCTTTAATAAATGTATGATTCACACACTGGCTTGTCTCCGAAATGCATTGAATGTGCTTTGTCATCTTTAGTGTTGTATCACATAGCATTGAATCGACTACTTAACTCTCCCATTCAAATAAACTTCATACATATACTATTCGATTCCCGTAGGCAAGGGGTTAATCATTGGAAAGTGGCTCAGTAGAATCCATCGCAGAACTAGCATCCCATTTTCCAAGTTCTGTCTCTGTCTCGGTATCTTTGATGTTCTTTTGATACTGTCACTAATGGACCAATCTCATCATCCCAATGAAAGCGAATTTTTTCCAGTCTTTGTAATCGTTAGGAGGTGCCTACAAGGCGTCTCCTCCAGAATTACTCATCCCCATCTTCCTTCATCGCTCTGATGACAGGACAGTCACTTTCATAGAATGCCTTGCAAGAACCCACTAGGTAAGTTCCTACGTGAACTCTTCTCTGGAGCCTTTGTCCTCATCCCAATCTTCCTGCTTCTCCGTCTGGGTCTCCTTTATGTCCTCGGCTTGTAGCCTCAAGGAATCTCAGACTCACTATTACAAGACATCCGTCCCTTTTATAGAATGCCTTGCCAGTACCCACTAGGTAAATTCCTATGTGGACTCTTTTCCGGTACCTTTGTCCTCATCCCCACCTTCCTCCTTCTTCTCGGTCTTGGTCTCCTTGATGGCATCGGCTTGGAACTTTGCCAGTACCTTCTCGGCCTTCAGGATGACTGCCGTCGTCAAGGCGATCTGGGTGTTTACATATTGGCATCTGTCCCGTCCCATCATGGCCAGCTCCTCGTTGCCCGACTGGAACGCTGCCTCTGATGCTGCTTCAAGGGTTAAGAGGGCGCTGTTCAAAATGGCTTCAAGGGCCTTGTGCAGGAAAAGAAAGAATGAAATGTAATAACTTTAAGCCCATCTGTACTAGTTTAGCCAGGAGGATTAGACTTCCCTACAAGGTCACTGGCAGAAGGTTATCTCATTAAATCAGCTCCCAATCAACATAAGAAAAAAAGGATCATGGGGGACTAACAGGCACCGATTAATTGTTTGCTATATAGAGGGCGCAAGTAGCTATAAGTAGTGCAGTGGGGCTTTAAAGGTGCTGTTGTTGGTAGTTATTTTATGGCATTCATTCAGTACTGAATGTATTTGCCATATCTTCAAGGTACAAAGAGCAGATGCTTTAAAGCCCCGCTGTACTAATTATAGCTACTTGCGCCCTCTTTATAGCAAACAATGCCTAAACGGTGACTATTGGTCCATTATGATCCCCTTTTTCTTATGTTGATTGGGAGCTGATTTGATGAGATAACCACCTGTCAGTGACCTTGCATGGAGGTCTAATCATCCCGGCCAAACTTTAAATAGATCTACAGTAGATTTCAAAACAGTGCAAATAATCCTATTACTAGTATCGTAGCTTCATGTTACATGCTCATGTCCATCTTTTCATATAATGTCATTGTGTTGCACAAAGCAAACCTACTGATAATTGATGCCCATTGTATTGTGTCTATCAGCACGTGTGGCAAACAAGTGATCGTGCCAATCGGCAGTGACGGCAAAAGATGGGTTAAAGCTTGGAATAAATCAAGGGCTAACACTGACCTGTATCTCATGCCTCCTATCATCGATGTTGACCCTCGCCTCTATGACCTCCTCCCAAAGGTCGTCTGAATGATAGCCCATCTTCTCAAATTGTCTATGCTTCTCAACTTTACCCATCAGTAGTTCAATATCCTGCAACAAAATGTAGAAACAGAGGGATAAATGACGATTCTACTAAAAACTAGCCCAGGCAAGTTATATTTGTCCATGCTACTTCATCTCACACATTCATGACCACCTGTAAGATTTTAGTATATGTGATAATTGTACAGTCAAACCTGCTTTTAATAGTGATCACCTGTCTAGAAAGACCACATTTTTTGTTTCCCTTTAAAATGGTTTCCCACTGAAAAATGTACTAAAGGAACCTGTCTACAAAGACCACCTGTCTATAAAGACCACTTGTTGTGTTTCTCTTGGGCGGCTGCTATAGACAGGTTTCACTGTATTAGGTCAATATTCCTACTGGAGGATAGATCCCTCCAAATATGAAGAGAAACCTTGGAGAAGCCCATTTCATTAAAATTTCACAACATCGTAATCATTGCAACAGCAAAGACCACTTTGTCGGTCATTTTGTTGTTGTTGCCTATTTCACCACTTATTATGGTCCTTCTAACATCTACCACCACAATTCCATGTGCCTACTTTCACAATTTTTATGTGGCTTTTTAACATGATTTAGTTATTAATAAATATAAATACTGGCTAAAAGTTGGCTCACTGAAATACAGTACTTACAGCCCCACTGCACTACTTACAGCTACTTGCGCCCTCTATATAGCAAACAATGCCTAATCGTTGACCATTGGTCCCCCATGATCTTTTTTTTTCATAATGTTAATTGAGAGCTTATTTGATGAGATAACCACCTGTCAGTGACCACACAGGGAGGTCTAATCCCTCCTGGCCTAGTGCGGTGGGGATTTAAAAGTGACCTGAAAAAAAAAATCTTAAGCAAGCTACCTGCAAAATAGAATAATGATGTGATGTTGTATATACTTGAATGCCTACCGGTACTCTTGTTTTCTTACCCGTGCAAGGTCCTTGTATTTGTCAATGATAGCTACAAAGGTTTGGGTTAGAAGCGCTGAAGCTGAATCTACCGTCATAGCTGCAGCGTTCATGATAAGAGTGCTACTGGTCAGAGTATCTGGATTAACTTTCTAGAAGCAAATCATAAATGATGGTATGAACACATCTTGGTATATACATGAATTACTGGGTACAGATGACATGTTCATATAAAAAATTGGTTAGAAGCGCTAAAGCTGAATCTACCATCATGGCTGCAGCATTCATGATGAGAGTATTACTTGTCAGAGTATCAGGATTAACTTTCTACAAAAGAATCAGAGAATAAACACATCTGGTTATAGGCCGGAACTACTGGGTACAGGAAAGATGACATGTTCATATAAATGGTAGTATAGCTTAACATTGTTGTACATAAATGCACATGTTTTTAACTGCTTCAAAGAACAACTGTTTCCTAAATGAAGTTTAACCCATTGCATACTGAAACTGAGTGGTTCCTGTATTAGCCATATGGGTAATATGAGAATTTGATAATCAATAAGTTAAGAATTAAATTGTCTTTGAGGTTGTATGACACATGATCCAGTGAAAATTCCCAAACTTATTCAACATTCATAAGATAAAGAAAGATAAAAGCGCACTGTGCTGATCTATTACAATTTTACCTCTAAAGTTGTTTAAGTGGTTTACTCATTCATGTCTGAATGAGACCTTCAAGGATGTACAATTGACAATACTCACAGGTAATCCTTTCACACCAGCCTCCTGTGCGTTATGAACAGGAATAGCACACAGTCCTCCTAGCCCTATAAGCCCTGTTCTTGCAAGCAATCTGGTGATATACTGGGAGGAAGTCTGGTGTGTTGATATGGGTCTAGTCCTCCAGAGTCTACATGCATGCCGATAGACACAGTAAGTGCTTCTCCTGTTTTGTGGTAAATTCAAGAAAATTCAAGTAAATTCAAGTTTGTATTCATCTTTCTTTTATAACACACATTACAAATATAATATGAATATAACAAGTTGACAGAATATGGCGTTACAATAGAAAGATGAGGTGACCTTGGTTGAAAGCAAGGCTTGTGGAATAAAGGTACCTCATGTGTATAGTAAGTACAAGTAAAGGGAAATACTCAATTAAAATTACCGGTAAAATTCAAATTAATTTATTGAAAATCAAAATGCTCGTATTGATGGATTAACAATATAACAAATAAAAACAAAACTGACACAAAACAAAGTAATTCCAAATTGATATTTGTTGAATAGGAACAAAAACCTTAAGGAAACAGAGACAATCTGTTAAAAAATAATGCTGTTTGCTTTGATGATCACATTACAATCGACAAGATTATTTGTATCATTGTTAATTTGTTGCCCCCCCCCCCCCCTTTAAAAAAAGAAAAACAAATTAGGAGCATGTAAGCAAAAGGTCAATTGTGTACAAACAAAAAGTAAGTTGACAACTAAATCAGACAATAAGATAATAAACTATTGAAATGCAAAACAGGGTATAACATAGACATATACAATTAAAAACGAAACCTTGAGTAACAAGAAATAAGAGATTTTGAGAAAGGCAGGGAAAGAGGGAGAGAAGGATAATTGAAGTGAAGGGGGAAGGGGAATGGGGGGGGGGGGGGCAGTGAGAGTAAAAAATAGGATGTTAATGTAGATAGAGACAGACACAAAGAGAGGAGGGTAAGAAACAGAGAGAGAGGAGGAATAAAAATGGAGATGGAAGAAAAAGGTGAAAGTTGATACAAGGATGATGTATATATATATATATAGACAGTGATCAAAAGAGACAGAGAGAGAGAGAGAGAGAGAGAGAGAGAGAGAGGGACGGTTCGGGGTTTAGGGGATGTGTGGGTTTAAAGGCAGAGAGAGGAGAATAGAGATTTGATTAATGCAGTATTCTTATATTCTCACATTTTCTGTGAAAAAAAGAAGAAAAAACATACTAAACATAGGAATACTTCAATAACAGAAAAGAAACAATTATTATATAATAAAAGATAGAAAATAATAATATGACGTCAACTCACATTTGTGATACTGTACATAGGAATCTGTGACCTGCTCTGACAAACATGGTGGTATAGTCTGTGTACTCTTTAAACCTAAAATAATGAGGTGGAAAATAAAATCATTAATGTTAGGAAAGTTTTCAGCATCATAATTTATGTCTAGACTATATGATGCGAAAAAACATACAAACAAAACAATCCCCCTTCCCCCCCCCCCCAAAAAAAAAAATAAAATAAAATAAAAAATAAATAAATAATGATAATAGATCTAGGTCTAGAAAATCTAGATCTAGAATCTATATAGCCTTTTGACAAGGCCTCGTTGACTCTGGCTAAGCGGCTGAGATGAGTCTAGATACCCGGAGTGAACGCGCGACCGAATGACGAATGTCATGAGGCCTTTTGGAAAGTGGGTTTCACTGCTCCGCATGAATTATTCATAGAATGTAGGCCAATACGCCTACTTTGGATTCATTGACCAATCAGAACGGCGATCTCCTAGTTGGCTTCGTTCGTGATTCGTTCCATGTAGAGGTCAGTGGTCAGTGGTCTTAGCACGTACGTATAGTAGGCATCAGGGAGGTGAGACTTGTAGGCATGTAGGTCCATGTTCGCACTACGTAGAGTTTACTGTGTGTGTGTGTGTGTGTGTGTGTGTGATGGATACTATATGCTGACGTCGTGCTAGGATACGTTTTCTACGTTTTCTGAAGCGAGTTCCAGTCGGAAACAATGGTTAACATAAGAAATCCAAACCAGATTGATAAAGGCCACAGGTCTGGACAATTCGCACTGGCGTTCATTCAGGTTTTCGCGATTAGTCTCTTTTTAGTCGCTCGGCGTCTATCAGGCATGTGGCCTTGTTTAAAGGCTAGAATCTATATAAATAAATAAATAAATAAATAAATAAATAAACAAATAAATAAATAAAATAAATTACAAAGGGAATTTGGCAATCTTATATGTAACATAGATGTAGACTAATTGGGGCCTAAAGTTTGAAGAATGAAGGTATTTTACTTTGATCTTTCCAAAGACAGCAAATATTTGATTTGGACGACGAGATATAGATCTATAGTACTAGTAGTACGTCCATGATTACGAGTTGATAATTTAAAGGTAAAGACCAGTATTGGAAACATCCCAATTTCAAAAAATTAAAAGTAAAGGAAGCTCTCATTTAGTCATTACCAATCATGTTAAAGAATATGTTTTGACTAATACATGATGATACAAAATTTGCCGGGAAACCGCCTACTAATTCATATATTTGGTAAATTTGTTTCTCTCATGGTCTGTGAGAGATATAGGGTAGTCCCATAAACATCTTTCTGTGTATAGTGCTTGTAACTTTACGAAGAATGGGCCAAATTTCTTATCATTTTGATGATTCCAGAACCTTGCAGATGCTAGATGCTAGATGATCAACCTTTTCTGATCGATTCCACGTTTCTTTCACAATGCAATCGCATGACCATAACTGGTCTTTACCTTCAACAATTAAAAAAAAATAATGTGACCAACCGACTGGACTGTCAGCAAAATAAATGAAAGATGTTTCTAGATCTATGCTATAATACCAAGAAAGGGTGTATCAATGATTTTTTTTTTAAGCCTCAATTTAAGGGGAGGTGTTTTTTTACCCAATTTGTGAAAAAAATATTTAGCGGCAAATCAACCAACCGGTGAATAAGCAGGGGGGGGGGGGGGGGGGGAGTCGGGACACTCCCTTTTCCTCAACATCCATCCCTCCCCTCCCCCTCCTTGAGCAAACAAAAAACAAAAACTTAGTGCTTAACCCCCCCACTATGTATGCGTACACGCACGCGACTCGTAAGACTAGATCAGTTTTCAGCCAGCATATTTTTCAACAAATGGGACACTGCAAACATTTTACTCGACGGAATTTGTTTTATTTTATCTTAATAACACCTACAGGAAGACAGAATTTAACTTTTAATCAAGGCGTAACATTACATTGACAGTGTTATGATACTAGCGATTTACAACAGAAGTAAAACAAGATTTGAGAGTAATGTAAAAATGAAGAAAGGACATACCGTGAACAGTTCTGTGTTATGGAGTGCCTTCTGACAACGTATATGGTAAGCTACTTGAACAAAAAATACTGACAGAATGAATAAGAGAAATGAACAAAAAAAGGAAACCAAAAGTGTATAAACAAATGATAAGGGGCACTGGCGTACCTAGGGGGGGGGGGGGGGAAGGGGGTAGAGGGCCCCCTGACGGGCTCCAGGGGAAAAAAGAAAAAGGGGAAAGAAAAGAAAAGAAAGGAAAGGAAAGAAAAAGAAAAAAGGAAAAGGGAAGAAAAAAAGGAAAGAAAGAGACAAAAGGAAAAAAAGGAAAGAAAAAAGGAAGAAGAAGAGAAAAGGAAGAAAAAGGGAAAAGAAAAGGAAAGGAATAAAAATGGGGAAATTTGAAGAAGAAAAAAACACCATAGCCGTACGCACCAGGGGGGGGGGGGGCAGTTGACCCCAGATATTTTGAAAACGTACAGTTTTTTCCTGAAAATGTAGTGTAGGCCTATACCAAATCCTTAAATTCTACTTTTAAAAATGCAAAAGTACCCTCATGACCAGTTCGGTCGCTCGAACTCCCTTCACTCCTTTTGCTTTTGAGATTCTTCGAAAACTTTTAACGCATCTTTCCCCCTCCCCCACCAGAAAAATATTCCGCATACGGCCCTGAAAAATTAAAACAAATGAAAATAGGAAAATATAAGTGATATAACAAATTCGAAACTCTTCGCTAGCGCGAACTGCTTGCTAGCCTATTTTTTTTTAAATGTTTTCACTTGCTCGTCCCCCTGAAATAAGAAAAGAATCAGTATTGCCTAGAATACAATTGTGCCTGCCCCGATGGGCCCTGACCTGCAACCATGGCAACAATAACACACAATATATGTACCAAATGTTACTAAAAGAGACCAATTCATTTTTCTCGCTCGCTACACTCGCTCGCGAATAAAATGAATAGACTTTGCTTTGGAAACAATTGTGCCCACCCTTGACCTGCAACAATATCATTAAAAATGGAAGAGTTTTTTCGCCCTCTCGCCAAAAAGGAATTGAATCGCGTTAAACGCAATTGCGTCCATCCTGACCTGCACCAATAAAAACAAGTTTATTTATTAATTTCTATTAAAAGAGAATTTTTTTTTTTGCTTGCTCGCTATGCTCGCTCGCCAAAATGGAATTGACACCGCTAACGTGCCCGCCCAACCTGCAACAACCAGTTAATAATTATGTACCTAACATTATTCAAAGAAGTTTTGGTGTGCTCGTGCTCGCCAAAACGGAATTAACATCACCTTAGACATGATTGTGTAAGCCCTGCCCTGCAACAAAAAAAATCTGAAATTTATGAACCAATTATCATTACAAACATTTTGCTCGCTCGCTACGCTCGCTCGCCAAAATAGAAATAACACCGCTTTTAATAATCACGTCCCTGACATGGAACAATGAACCAAAGTTTTATGTACCATATTTTCCCTATAAAAGAGAAGTGATTTTTTTTTTGCTCGCTACGCTCGCTAGCTCGTGGAATTATGTGCCCACCACTAACCTGCTACAATATCATTAAAAAGAGAAATGTAGGGGGTTGCCTGCCCGCCAAAATGGGATTGACATTGCCTTAAACACGATTGTGCCCGCCCCCTACCTGCAACAATGAAACAAATTTTATATAGCAATTCATTGAGAGAAAGATGTGTTTTCGCTCGCTAGCTAAAATGGGTATAAAATCACCCTAAACACAATATTGTTCCCCCGCCCTGCATGGGACAATTGAACCAAGTTTAAGTAGGCAATTATTAAAAAAGAAGTGATTTTTTTTTCTTGCTCGCTACACTCGTTTGCAAAAAAAATGAAAGTAACGTCGCTAACAAGTGAATGTTCCCACCCCCAACTTGCAACAATACCAGTTTATATATCGAACGTTACTTAAAGATTTTTTTTGCTCGCTCGCTCGCCAGAAGTGAAAATTAGCATCGCCTTTTTTTGTTTGTTTCGGTCGCTTGTCCCCCCCCCCCCCCCTGACGGAGTACCCAGGTACGCCACTGATAAGGGGTCAGGGGAATCGAGATGTCATGTCTGGTTTACTCCGTTTCATTTCTTCTTTACTTGTTATTTTTTTATTTTTTAAAAATGTTTTTTCTTTATTATTTTTTAGAAAAGAGAGAGAGAGAGAGAGAGAGAGGGAGGAGGAGGAGAGAGGGGGGTTGCTCAACTAATCTGTGTTTTTTGTTTTGTTCTTATTTGTTTTTTTTATTTTTTTAAATTTTGTTATTTAAGGACTGCTTGAGCATTTGACATGTGTATGTGCTAAAGAAAGATTGACCTTCAACATTATAGTGGTTATGAACAGTTGCCAAAATTGATTTTAGGATAAACTTCTTGTCGTTTCAACCTGGTTAGGCGATTTTTGCTCAATTTCAAGTAAAATGCGATCATGAATGGTTAAAACATTATCAAAGTTGAAAACAAACTGTTCTCCAAAAGTTGGATGAACACATTTTACCCTCGAGCTGTGCTTCTTTAATTAAATATTTTCTTTGTTTTCGTTTTGTATGTATTCGCTTTTACTTTGCTTTTGTTATTCATTTTTCCAGCTGTTGTTTTTCTCTTTTTCCAGGGTCACGAGCTTTTTCCATTCTCTCGTACATTTTGATAATTGCCGTCTGCGGCCACTCAAATTTTCTAGACATAATAACAGACGGGTACCATGTTTAATTATAACAAGTGCTCTTACCTGAGGGTTGAGAGTTGGCGAATGAAATACTGGTAACCCTTGACCCTGGCGGGCGTGGAGCTCAGGTCAACAAAGTGAGAAAAACATGAACAAAATACTACAAGACGGGTACTACAGAGGTGTCACACTGTCACGGTATACATCGAGGGGTCAGTGACACAAAGACGTAACTCCATTTTGGCCTTTTGGGGAAAAGGTGGTTTATGTGTCACTGAGCACTTGATCCTTAATAGGAATTAAGTCGACATTGACTTCAATGGGGTCTGTTGGGCGGAGTTAAGTCTTTGTGTTTCCTGGAAAGCCCACACTTTTTCTGAACATTTTAATATCAATTACTCGTTTTGGCAAAATATGGAGTTGCGTCTTTGTGTCACTGAACCATCAACAGGTACAGGTCTACATGGTTCGAATACCGCCGTGGCACTAATGTCCTTTGGAAAGACATTAATCTATCTTTGCCACACTCCATCCAGGAGTAGTAATATGTAGCTAACTCATTCATTCCTTGAATGCCCGGGGGGGGGGGGGGGGGTACTCAGATTTGGTTGGGACAGGGTGTCCCGCTCGCGTTATTTTCTTCTGCGGCACAGATTGGGGCTTTTTTTTTTTAAGGGGTCTTGATTTAACCCTAACCCTAACCCTAACCCTTCCCAAAGGCTCAACACGCACCGTGCCCCAATCTGTGCCGCCGAAAAAATAACGCGTCCCGCTCAATACAAGCCTCGAAACTCCTACCTATTTTTTAGGGTCTTTTTATTTTAAGCGGGACCCATGTTTAGGGATTTTTTTGTGTGCAAAAGTTACCCATTATAGCGCGCGGCACATGCACACCCTATTTGTCCTAATATGTGATTCCCCCCCCCCGATATGCGCTACGCAAGAACGGCATGTAATTATTATTGTTATTATCATCATTATTCAACTGACTCTCAATTAATGGGTTGAGGGTTCGAATCCCAACCCGGCATTAACGTCTTTTTGGCGAAACACGAGATCCACATTTTTCAAACTCTACCCAAGGTGCAGATGGGTACCTGACAATTGCTAGGGTAATGATTATTGCATGAGTCTTCATGAAAACAGGCAGATGCTAATAAGACTTCCTTGGGTAAAGAAAATCATAATTCTCAATAATTGTACTGCTAACATTTCCATTACGTATTACGTAATCAGAGAGTACTGCAATTGTCCTTGAGTTGATTTTTCGAAAATAGTTTTTCAAAAGTAGTTGTGACCGTGTTGATGTTGATTCGCATGTCTATTAAGATTGAGATAATGTTCCATACTATTCAGCTAATTTCTTGTTCATCTTCTTTTACTTTTTTCTCTTTTATTTATTTATTTATTTATTTATTTATATATATATATATATATTTTTTTTTTTTTTTTTTTTTTTACAGAAGACGACCATCTGAAATTGTAATGTATCTGCTTTGTGGGGCACTCTGCCCCCCCCCACCACCTCTATAATTCCGAAGGTTCATGATTCCAAAATAGCTTATAACCCTGTATCATTTTCGAAATTATGAGTTAGTTCACTTTAGGAAAAACGAAGCTTCCGAGTAACTAATCAAAAATGTTCGGGATCATAAACCCTATTTCATTTTGGTATTGGTAATGTGTGTTTCGGGCAAACGAACCTTCGTAATCAGATAAGTACCCCAAAAGTGCCCCTTTTACTTCAGAATGATAATTGCCTCTTTTGCTCTCTAATAATAGTGCACACTTTCACCTCTGATAAGTGCCCCTATTCAAATATAATAAGTGCCCATTTTGTTGTTTCTCTCGTTCTTATCAGTACCCCTTTTCAATTTAATAAGTGCCCCATATTGCTTTCTAATAAGTACACTTTTCCGCCGGACTTTTCCAACCCTTTTTTTTCCTTCTTCACATTTTGTATTCTTACATAAAGCACCAAGGACCGAGAAAGATGCTAACTTTCATTGCATCGGGTATGATGGAAGTTATACTGTTGTCGTGTGCCACTTGAATGAGAATGTTTATTGCGAAATGTGCAGTTACCAGTCAGTTATGAAAAGAGCATGTATTTGCGTTTTTATTTAATTTCAATGATGTGATCCTTTCGACATGAAATGGCGACTTCCCATTTTATTAGGGCTCGGGTTACGGTCAGCCATTTCAAGCTGGGGACTCAGGGGGAGGGGGGAGGGTAGAGGTTGGGTTTTGGTCCTTGTATTCACTTTAAAGGGACTCGTAACATTGCCTCAGATTCTGAAACAAAATCCTGGATTTAGCTCATGCTGCAATCATAATTATAAACCTTTATAGGTCAGTCAGGAATCCCATGACTTTAACATGCCGATCGCCTGTCTAATTATCAAGATATTTATGATTGGAAATCGAAGTTTC